CTCGATCCAAGTGCTCGGAGGAGCCCGAAGTCACACCTGACTTTGGGCCTCCAGAGAAACACAAGGGCTCCGATTCTGATTCGGATTCGGAAGGCTCAGAAGAGGAGGTCGTCTTTGCTAAGCATGACCCTCCTACACCGTTAAAAGAGGAACTTAGGGCTCGGGAAGATAAAAAGGGGAACCAAACACCACCCTGCCTGAGCTACTCCGCTTTGCGGGAGGAACTTAGGCCCTTCCGCTCCTTGGCAAGTTCGCGACCCACGATCGCCCCCTTCAGGGCGCCAGGCCCTACTGCACCGACGTGGCCGGAAGAGGAGTTGTTCCCTGGGCTGCCACCTCCACCCGTGGCCGCCAGAGGGCGCCCACAACCTATGGCACCGCCCTGGTTAGAGGGAGAGCTACTTCCTGGGTTGCCTTCTGCGCCCCCATCTGGGGAGGGAGGAGGACGTTCCTTCCACCAGAGGGTATGGTCGCGGCTTCCCTTTGAGTGTTCCGGTCTCCATGCATTCCCGGTACAAGTAGGAGGCAGGGGAGGAGGAGGATATTATGAGCCCTTAGAAATTAAACAACTTAAAGCTATCAAGGACGCAGTTTCAGCTTATGGGCCCAATGCGCCATTTACCATGGCGCTTTTAGAGGCATTGGCAGGTCTGTGTGATCTCTTCACCTCAACAATCTATTGGTGTTAACCCGAGAGGACTGCGCCCCAATCATATTTGGCAAACACACATCCCAGAATTCGGAAAAATATGTACATGTTTCGGTTGACACCGCTTCTCAGGTTATGTTTGCTTCGGCAGAACCTGGAGAAAGGGCCACCCATGCTATTAATCATTGTCTTGCAGCCTGGGCTGCTTGGGGAAAGCCCAATATACTAAAAACAGACAATGGTCCTGCCTATACCAGCAAAATTTTTATGACATTTTGTCAACAAATGGAGGTCACTCTTAAACATGGCATTCCTTACAACCCCCAAGGACAAGGCATCATTGAGCGATCCCATCGGACACTCAAGGGTGTCTTACAAAAACAAAAGGAGGGAATAGGCCATGGCCTAACGCCCAAAGGAAGAATATCATTGGCACTCTTTACCATAAATTTTTTAAACCTTAATCACAATAATCATTCCCCTGCCATGGAGCACAATAACCCGTCCCCGGCCGACAAAGGGCTGGTGAGATGGAAAGATGTCCTTACAGGACAATGGATGGGCCCGGATCCAGTGGTTAGCTGGACCCGAGGTGCAGTTTGTGTCTTCCCACAGGAACCAGGCTGCGAACCGCTGTGGGTCCCGGAAAGATTGACGCGAGCAGTAAACTCCCCACCAGTTCCTGATAAAGCACAGGAGGATAAGCCCGCGGACACAAGTCAACTCGACCCTTCTGGGACCGACGCTCAGCGCCCGAGACCATCTACAAACTAAAATGTCTGGTTTGGAGCCTTTTCTATTCTGTGGGTTCCTATTAATCACCCCTGTTCGCACAAATTTGACCAACACTGTTAAAAATATGACAGCTTGGCTGCAAGACACCTACCTACCTAAGTTTCACAATTTGTCCCTCATAGTCGGTCAGGAACTTGACAATATGGACGGTATCCAACTAGGTCCAGTCAGGTTCGATTTATCAACTTTAGGCAGTGTTATAGCCAGTTTGTGGGAACGCGTCACCTCCTGGTTCTCCTGGCCCAACCTGACTACTTGGATCCTGATTGCCGTGGCCATCCTAGTGGGGCTTGTGGTTATTAAATGCTTGTTAGATCGCCTCATACAAACTCAGCAGCAGGTTAAGATCACAGCCATGGCAGCCATGCAAATGGCAGCAGGTGGCCCATCAGGCCAGCAGGCCGCCGCATATCTCCTTCACATTGCAGAACATCAGCTATAAGAGCTGAGTGGGCAAGCCAATGACGGGTAAGATGGGAAAAGCCCTCCCAGTCAACCTAAGACAGGCTCCACTCAGATATACATGGCCTATAAGGCCAGGGGTCCCTCCCGGAGTCAAATTATTGGCATTGAGATGCGAGACCAAGGGTACTGCAGTGCCATCCGCCCCAAAGGTTGGGGGGAAGGCAGGAATGAATGTCTATATGCATCCAGGTTCGGTTCACAAAAGCCTGGCCCTGCGAAAAAATGAACCACTCACCTTGAGCATGGTCCTGGCACAAGGATATGCACAAAACAGGGTGATGCACAGCAGGGTATAGACCTCTACATTCTCTCATGCCTCGGCCTACAAGGTAGGCCCACTCCTAGGTGTCTAACAGCAACAAGGTCATAGACACCTTGGAGGGACCCACAGACCATCCTATTTTAATAAATAAAAAAGGGGGAGATGTGGGAAGCCGCCTATGATGGCGCCCATTTCCTGCTTCCGGGTTCTTCCCGGCCTGAACAAGCCCGCCAAATTGTCATGTCTGCCCAGTTACCCGTGACGCTAGCCTATCAGCTTGTTAGATGTGCTTCTCTGTGATTGGATACTGCTTCCCCTTATAAGAGGTTGTTCCTGCCCCCAACGGGCAGAAGAGGAACCAACGTTGAGGGTGGCGGACCTTGTTAGGTCTGGTTCGCTGTACGCAATAAACTTTGAGAGCTGATCCTGCTCGAGTTTGGTCTCCTGTCTCCCGCGGCTCCGGTCACCCCACCTCTCACCAATCCTGACCTTCACAGCCCAGCTCTTCCAGGAAGCCCACCAGCCCGCCTGTGCAGACAGATCTGTCCTGCTAGGGTCCAGCATGCATCCAAACTATATCTTAAGTTACAGACTCTCAGATTCAGTTACAACTGCACTGACGAAGTTGTGGTGGGGACAGTACATTGAGCCTAACCTGAGTTCCCTGGATTCCAAATCTTGCACTAGGCCCGACATGCACTTCTAGCACCTTGTGGTCCCATGAGTGTTTGAGCATGAAATCCTAATAAATGACGTTCTTACGATGATAACAGAACACTGGGCCTAGGTGGGCTGTTCTCACATGTACCTATTAATGATTCTGGTGACAACTGCTGTTGTTCACTTAAACTTGCTAGATAACCAGCACCACAAAGGGTGCATCACCCACAGATCCATTTATCTCAGCAACCGCCCTACGAGGTGGGCAATGTCAGGGTCCTCCTTCTGCTACTGTGAAAACCAAGGTCCCAAGTGGCAAGCAGTGTGCCCAGCTGCCTATAACTAGTGGGGGGACAGGGATCCAAAGCCAGGTCTTCCAACCTGACAGCCTGATGTGTTCACAGCACTGATGGCCACAGATGGTGTCTGGGGAGCCCCCTGCAGCAGCCCAAGGGCACCGAGTAGGGCCAACCTGTTTTCCAAGGGGTACCTTCCCCACTGCCCTTGAAGGCAATCTGCAGGCCAAAAGCAGCCCTATGCTCTGGGATGGCTTCTCTCTGTCCCCACCAGACAGCCCTGGTCAAGGAGCAAGGACATGAATGTCCTCTGCCATTCATGACAGTCATAGAGCCACCAACACCTCCTCCACTGAGCAATAATCATCACTGATGACCATCAGCTCCATCAAGGGAAGTTTACTGGTTGAATGTCACCTATAGGGTAAGGCACTGCAGGGGACACAGGGGAAATGAGACGTGGCCTCTGCCAATAGGAACTCAGATGAGGACAGAGGACTGAGAGCCATGCTGCTGACGGCCCAGCTAACAGTCACCTGACCAGCCCTCAGAGACAGTATGGCCCAGATTGACCACGGGGCTCTGCACCACACTGCCTGGGCTCAGAGTCTCTACCACTCTGGAGCCCAGAAGAAAGGATTAAAGAGACAATCCAAAGTGCCACCCTCCAGAGGGCCCGGGTACCGACGAAGCTAGGAGGGCTCTCCGATGCTGGCAGCTGGCTTTCTCCACACTGCACACCGAGACTATTCCCCCGGGTCCTCTCACTGAAGTCAGTCAGGGCCCTGAGCACAACCCCAAGTGGACCTGTGAGTCCTACCAGAGGTCACCAGCCTGAGGGAGCTCTTGGGGATGGTGATGCTCTAGCCACGAGATCTTGGGCAAATGACTTGTCCTTGGTACCCATGCCTTGGCTTCCTGCCCAGCTACTAACTGGGAGTGATAGATAATCTCCCACAAGACGGGGGTAAAGCAGACAAGGTGTGACGTAAGTAAACTGCTTAGAAGACCTGGCACCCAGCAGACGCACGGTCTGGCAGTGCATGGTAAGTGTCGGCTGGACAGATAAGAGACACCAGAGAAAGCATTACTGGGGCATGTCAGGGAGGGTGATTAGTGTGAGTCCCAACAGACTAAGGAGGGACATTCCCTCCTTTGTGCAGGTAGCACCAAGTCGGCTGGGTCCCCCACAGAGCAAAGGCAGGGAAGGAGAAGGTGTCTATGACCTCCTAAGTGGAGATGGTGTCTTCTACCCATGGACATCAGCACCCCAGCTCCGCAGCCTGGACTGCAGGGCTGACACAGAAGCCCCAGGTGCTAAGGTCTTAGCCTTGGACTGAGAGTCACGCTCTCTCTCCCTTGGTTCTGCCACCCTCAGTCTCAGACGGCCACCCAGGGTTCCCAGCCTGTACACACCTGCAGAGTCGTGTGAGACAATTTCTCTAGCAGAGCCCACCAGGTGCACAGCCTGCAGGCCCCGTTTGTGGAGACACACTAGTCAGCGAGCCCTCGGTGTGTGCCAAGAAACACCACACTGGGAGCAGCACTGCGAATGCTAACGGGGATGGCAGGGGCCGGGGCAGGGGCCAGACAGGGTGCAGGGCTCTGGCTGATCTGACCCCACCAGACGTGGGGCCAGGAAGGCACAGGACACACAGCAGTACAGATGACCAGGCAGCATCGGCCTGTCCAAGCAGGGACCAACCACATCCCAGACACAGTCATCAGGAGAGCCAGCCACCAGTCCAGGGCCACCTGGGACTCAACACTGCCTGTGGCCTCCAGTGCCTGTGGGGCTCCAAAGACAAACCAGAGACCCAGACACCCAGGCCAAGGACAGGGGCACACAATACCGTCGTGCACGGTCACTTACTGTTATCTTTTCAGCCACTGTTATGGTCAAGACGGCTTGCAGCTGCGTTCTGTTCTAGAAAAGAATGAAGAGGGTGCTTCAACCGACTGGGGCTGGAGTCTCCCACATAGGGTGGGCACCTGGTGTTGGTCCCCACCCATGTCTGGGGCTGCACTCCCCAGACTGCCAAGCCAGGTAGAGCTGGGGGAGGGTCCCCTGGGGCACAGGTCTGTGGTCAGAGGATACGGCTTTCTCTACCAGAGGCTCATGGAAACCCGAACACTAATTTCCCAAACCCCAGCACCTGTAGATCAGCCTTTACTGTTCTGCTGCTGAGAAGACACAGGCTCTGCTGGAGACAGTGGACCCCAGTGCTGCACGACGGCCCTGGTTCCAGTCCTGATGCTCCCATCAGTGGAGAGGGGAGCTTCAAATGTCACGCCATTCTGAGTCTCAGACATTTATCTGAAATTTTTATTTTAACTGACTTGGCTCCTGTGCTTGGAAACTGCCAATGGCACTTGGGGCGTTTTCCCCTTCCTTCTTATCTTTCGTCCTCTTTGACTTTGTACCTAATTATGCCCTGATGGCTCTATCTTTTCCAACAGTTCCACATGGTTTTCTTGTATCTGGTCTTTATCGTTTAGCCTCTTTCCTTCCCCTAATTTCATCTGAAGGGTTTTGTTTTTGTTTTTTTGTTTTGTTTTGTTTTTTTCCCTGTTGCAGCAGAAAGGCCGAATAGGGCCCGAAGCAGCCTTGGGCACCAAGGGTTCCCAGGAGGAGCCCTGCTGCGTATCTCATTTGATTCTGTCCTGTGACCTGGGTGGTGACAGTCACGCTCCAAGCCACATTTTCTATGCCTATGAAGAAGGTCTTTCTCCAGGGGCTGAAGTCAGAATAAAACGGCAAAAGGAGCCATGAGCTCCTTGAACACAAGGCCCACGGCTCCCTGGCGAGTACCCTAAGTGGGCAGCACTGCCCAGCATGCAGGGCTGACAGCACTCACTGCTTGGCTCTGTGGGCACTCGCAAAGAGAAACAAGCCACAGAGGAGGGAACAGCACTGCTGAAGGGGGCTCCACGGTGCTCCCAGGCCGCATCTGCCGAAGCCCAGAGCCTCAGTGAACTGGAAGTGAATGTTTGGAGACAGGACTTTCAAAGGTCAATGTTAACTGGGGCCATTAGGGTTTGGAATGTCTGGGGTCCTTGTAAAAGGACGAGAGGAGAACACAGACACCCACAGGAGAGCTGCATGAGGACACAGGAGATGATGCCCCACGCAAGCCGAGCAGAGAGGCTGGGGAGGAGCCAGCCTCCCTCCAGCTGTCAGGGGATGCGACACTACATTGTTGTCCGGGAGCCACCCAGTCTGTGACACTTTGTTTCCACAGCCGTGAGAAATTCACAGGAATGCTAGCCACAGGTTAACTGGTTACAGCAGAAAAGGCTGTGAAGATTTGGGGTGTTTATCCTCATGATAAGCCCACACGTGGCGCTGAAGGGAAAGGAAGGAGGAGGATCTTCTGCCCTTCCTCCTCAGGCTCCTGAAACAACCTCCCCTCACCCCCACAAGTCAGGAATCCAAGTAACAAAGGAGATACCAGCATGGAGCTCTGAAACGTGAGCTGGGCAGGAAGGCTCAGGCTCTCCAAGGTGCTGATGGCTCCGGGGTCCAGCGATGCGGTGTAGCTGACCAGGTAGGAGTCGCCCACTGCTCAGAGACAAGCACATGGGCATCAGGAAAAGGACTGCCACGCCTCCACCCCAGCAGGGCTCATTTCACAGGGGACAGGGATTCTGGGAGTGGCTGGCTGGGTCAACAGACTAGCTCTGCTGGTCACTGTGGGGCACCTGTGCCCAACCTCGAGCCCCGCCTCCTCTCTAACAGGGATTACAGTTTAGCCCTAATATGCACCAGGACTTCATCTCTCAACTCAGGGAAACCTCCTCAGAAAGAATAAGTAACCTGGAGAGAAGAGGTGGGAAAGGAGCATGCACTGATTCCAGGAATCTCGGGGGATTTCAGACCCCTCAGCAACCAGTTTTCCTTTATGTAAGGACAAAAGCTGAGACAATGTAGACAGGACAGTAACAATCATGAAAGGGATCCTGGCTAGAGCATCACCGTCAGACCTCCCCAGCTCGGTGATTTATCCCTCCCTGGGCGCATCCATGAACCCAGCTGAGCCCCACATTCTCTGCTTTGAGGTCCACCTCGGCACGTGGATGGAGCTCGTATTCTGCAACGTGCAGAAGAATAAATGAGACTGAGGGAGGCTGACTTGCTTAAAACCAATCCATTAGTAAGGAGAAGGCCACCTATCTCTCTGGTCCAACTCTTTCCTTAAATCGCATTAGCCTCAGTAAGGAAAGAGCACCAAATGATCATGGAGTCAGAGCCTCGACAACTGGGCTCTGACTGATCATTTGATGACAGTCATCTATCTGTTCTGTGGGGTGGGGAGAGGAGTTGCTGCCCCCAAAGCTGAAAATCAGCCTGCCAGCCTGTGGCATAATGGTGAGTTCAGGGATAATCTCACAAGCAGAGGTGACAGGGGCATAAGTAACAACTAGAAAACAGCAACAGGAACAAAATCAAAAACAGGACACTAGGAGTACTTCCCACCATCCCAGCCAGCGGGTAACTCCCTCACCCTCACGGGAGAAACCACGATGGCTCGGGGCAGGCACCAGGAGGCGTGGAGTGTGGCCATGTGTGACGGTTGGCATCTAGAAGTCACCCCAAGGTCTAAGTGGTCACAGGTGGGACTTTGGGGAGTGGCTGGATCCTGGGTGTGTGATACTAGGATTAAGGGCGTGTGATAACTAAATGGACCTAGCATCACACTGGGTGTGGATAATGAAAGCCCCACTTGGGCATGAATAGACTGTAGCCTGTCTGGAACATAAAGAGACTGAAAAAAGGCAGTCACTGCTTGCATTCTGCTGCCTCCTGCCTGTCACGCCATGGACTGTTCCTCCTACACAATGGCCCCTGCCACACCACCCTGCCTTGGAGTCAGGCAACTACAGGCTGAAACCTCTACAAACTGTGAGCCAAAATAAGCCTTTCCACTTTTAACTTGTGGTTGTTGAGTATTTTATCAAAGAAACAAGAAAAGTAACTAAGACTTTATGTTAAAACAGAATTCAGTGAAGCCACCCATGGGAAGTGCTTGAAATTTCTGAATTTCCTACTATCTGTTTGAAATTCCTCCTAATAAAAACTGATTTCTTTTTAAAATTGCACAGAATTTTGTCCCCAAATCCCACCTCTGCCAACAAAGGAATCAAGCTTTTCGACTGCAGATGCCGAGGAATGGTCTCTTCCTTTGCTACCCTGGTAATCAGAGGGTCTGCGAGCCTCAACCAAGTGAACACAAACCCATCTAAGGCACGCTGCATCCGCAGAAAATGTTCTGAGAATATTTTCAGCACTTCCCACTTTCCCTGGCCCAACCATGCACCACTGTTACCTGGCAGGAACTCCTTTTTGAAAGCCTGCAGTCCATCTGGGGTCTTATTTCCAGGTGAGTCTCTGACAGCAAGACCACTGGTGTCGTCCAGCACGAGCAGATCCGAGAGGTTAGCTGACAAGGGTGCCCGGGTGTTGTTCACAACCAGATGCACACGCACTGCCGGTGATTCGCTGTGCCCGGACACCTGGACAGGAGGAGGTGGGAAGAGGGCAGGTGAGCTGTCAAGTCTAGCTTCTGAACAGGACACAAGCCAGACTGTGCACCCCCGCTCTAACAGAGACCCTAAAAATGTATGGGGTCCCTGATTTCCAAGCCCTGGAGGGTTCTGATCCACACTGCCAAGCAGTTGCTTGGAGACAGTTTCCAAGAAATTGGGACTCTGAGATGCAATGAAATCATCCCTGCAGAACCTCTGAAGAAAAAGGAGCCCAGTGTGGAAGCACAGTCAGGTCAGGAGACGGAGAGCACAGCGCCACCCAGAAGAGTGAACAATGGCTCCTCTGTACGCCGGCACTTTGAAGATGCAGCTCCATCCGCCCCAACGCAGCAGCTGTGATGGCCATTTGAACTCTCAGAACAAGGTGAGCTGCTCGTCGCCTCCTGGCCCATCTCCTCCATGCAGCTTCTTCCCAGCCCCAGGACGAATGGTTCCAACATGGACCCGATCCAGTGGCCCTCCACCTGGTGGGCCCACAGCCCTGCCCCACTTCCCTCTCTCCAGCCATAGTCTCATCACACCTGCACCCGCTTCTCCCAGCTCTGTAAAAATAGCTGCAGAAAAGAGAAGGAAGCAGTGCATTTCCCAAGATGCGTGAGCTCAGGAATGCAAGTGAAAAAAGCAAGCTTGAGAACTGGGTTTGGGTCTATGCTGCCTACAGAAAAAAAGATACCCAGAAGCTTGTGCTTGGTCTTCCTGGGCTCTGCTCACATGCCTTATCCCTTTGCTGACTTTACTGTGTACCCAGTGCTGTGATAAACTGTGTGTATCGGCTTTCTGACTTTGGGGAGTCCTGAGAGTCACTGGGCTGAGGGTGGCCCCGGGAAACCCCAACACAGGGTAATGTGATAACCATCCTCTGGAATTAGCAGAACTAGAGAGCTAACAGACTTCAAGGAGGTACCATGTTAATGTCTGAAATCAGGGAGTAAATACATTGTACTTTCTTCCCTGTTCCCTGTAAATTTTTACCAATGATAATTTGTTGCCTAGAGAAGCATGGATAAGGAAGAGGATCCTGTTATGCCTGGGATCCAAAATACCCTCTAAAAGCCTCCTTGCGATGAAGGCTTCACTGCTGCCTGATGAGACGGAGGAAGGGAATGGACCAGGAAGTTGCTCACTTCATCAGGTGGGGTGACCCACTGATGAGTCCACAGCTCAATGGACAAGGCAAGCCCCTGGGGGTGCCCCTTGCAAAGGTTCATCTATCCCTGACCGCCCCTCTCTGGCTCTTTCCTCCCTCTCTGCTTCCCAGCTGCCATTTGGTGGCAGCTCTCCTCCTCCAGGGCCCTCCGCCATGATTCTTCCTTGCACTGGCTAACCATGGACTGAAACCTCGGAGACCCCGACCCAAATAAACATTTCCTCTTTTTAGTTGTGCACGTTGGGCATTTTGTTCCAGCAACAAAACAAGTAACTAATACAGAGCCCTTACTTTTTTGTCATCATTTATGGGTCCAGACACGGACAGATAAGCCCACCATTTGCCAGTTCTTAAATACATAAGTCTACTAATGTGTGTTAGTTAAATCCAATTATCTTCCCATCAAGAGCAAGCACTGTATGGAAACTCACCAGTGCACATTTCTGAAAAATCACTCCATTCTCAGAAGTCCCTTGACCTTCTCTTGAAGTGTCTCCATACTACAATAAAATACAGAAATTATAAGAAAATGAAAATATTTGATGCTGCACATATTTAATAAAAGAACAAGATGACAAACTTTTAAAAAGAAGGTAAAGGGATTACTTTCATTAATCCTCTCGTAAGTAATCTTGATTTTTTTCAAGAGCATTAAAGAATAGGAAGGAAATAAAAGATTGGAAGAGAGAATGCGGACATGAAATTACAATGACTCATTCCCGGTTTGGAAGCGTGTGGACGCCACATGTTGTCACAGGGACTCAGCAAACGAGGGCTCCACCCTCGGCGAGAGGAACTGAGCAGAGCCTTGGACTGTCCCAGGGACCAGGTGGCATCCTGCCCCTGGCCAGGGCTGACTTAGGGCAGCCACCAACCGCAGCAGGGGAAAGGTAAACATAAGGACAGCCCCTGCATGAGTCGGGCTCCCGTGAGCATGGAGAATCTACCCAGCTCTGTCCCCCACTGCCAACAAGGGCTCCCATGAAAGGACACAGTGAAAAGGCAGGACTCTGTCTTCTCTTTGACGTTCACTCCATCCTTGCCATCGCCCTAACCCCAGCACTGGAGCCCCTTGGTGTTAGTGCACAGCCTTTGACCTGGCTGGGCTCTTCCCTCCTCGAGGCAGCTTTTGTGGCACCCCTCACTGGGGTGGCCATGCCTCCCTGCTCTCTGCCTGGCCCACCTGCCACCTGCAATTGGGCAGGCTACAGCCTGAGCCCCAGAGTAGTATGGCTCCAGGTAATACTAACATCAGGGCAACAGTGACATCTTCCGAATACCAGGCCCCACAGGCAGGCATCCAAGTTCTTCCATTTTACAGATGAGGAAACTAAGCCTCAGACAACTGTCCTTACAGTCAGAAGAGACACAAAGAGGAAGCCATGTGAAGACAGAGGCAGAGATGGGAGTGATGTGGCCACTGCCAAGGTTACCTGGACTCCTCAGGAGCTAGAGGAGGCAGCAAGGGTCCTCCCTAGAGCCTTCAGGGAGCACAGCCCTGACCACACTCTGATTTCAGACTCCTGATCTCCAGGCCAGTAAGAATGCATTCGATTGAATTAAGTCACCAAGTTTGAGCTCAAGGGTCTTCAGGGCCACTTTAAGCTGCTAAATCTTACACTGAAAGACAGTGCTATGAGGAGCCAAGACATAAAACAGAACATAAACCATCAGCAGGGGACAGAGCTGCCCTTCAGAGCAGAGGCTTCAGATCTTGGTTCTGCCACTTCTACCCGTGAGACCCGGAATAAGTTTCTTAATCTCCCTAACCCTCAGCTTCTTGGGAATAAAAGCACACATCATAAACACAAAGTGCTAAGGCACAGAGGAAATGTGTGCCAACTGCAAGCTGCAAGGGCTGTTAGCAGCAGCACCCTCCGTCAGCTTCTGGGAGTGAACCACCCCAGGTGCAAAACTGAAGCCAAATGTGCTGGGACTGGTTGTCCAGAGCCCGGGGTTCCTCTCCTCTAAATACTCCACAGCATGCAGGGAAGAGCCTCGGAAGGGAAATGAGTTTGCTGGCCAGGGATGTACACGGTGAGAGAGAAGACACTGGCTTTGTTCAAGGAACAAAAACCCTTTACGCAGGATGAACTCAAAATCAGTTTCCTTCCAACACGTGTTACTTATACGGAAGCAAAAAATCTGCTCCTTACCACGCTCTGCACTGTAGGGGACTCTCTCTTAAAGAAGCTCTTCTTGGGCCATGCAGGTACGAAGGGGAAGAAGGAATGAGCCCTCGGCCTGGAGGAGGCTGCAGAAGTGGGGGACTCAGTTTTCTCCCTGGATTTCTCTCCACGCACTGCTTCTGCAACAAGACAGCAATGCACGTGTGTTACGCAACGCAGTGACAGGCAGCAGGACCCGGCAGCTCAACTCTGAAGGCAGCGTCCGTGGTGTGCTGAGTGAGTGAAGGTGTTAGTTGGGTGGATAGATGGATGGACAGACAGACGGATGGGTAGATGGGAGAATAAACAATTTATCCCCTCTTTGCCTGGAAAATGAGGTCTGCAGACTGAAGAGCTAAGGGCTGAAAGGGCCTGTCTCTGAAAGGTAGCTTCCGCACCTGGGTTGTGTACTAGAAAATACATTCTTTGGTCCCAGTCATGAATCAGAACCAAACCAGAAAAACTCCACAGATGATGTTCACACACATGGGATCACACAGCCCTAGGATCCAATCTGGGCTCTGCCCCTCATCAGCTAAGTCCTTGTGGAAGTCACTGAACTTCTCTGTGCCTCAGTTTCCCTGACTGCTGTGGTTTGCATGCGCTTGAGAGCTTGGTCCCAGTACGGCAGCATGAAGAGGAGGTGAGGTCTGTAAGAAGTAGGCAAGTGGGAGAGGGCTGGGCCACAGCGCCCACAGCGGGAGGTACATTCGGGTCCTGCGGGATGGACTGGGTCTCCCGGAAGCACATGTACTCTCGTGAGAGCAGGTTGTTGTAAAGGAAGGAGACCAGCACCTCCCTATCTCTTGCTCTTGTCTTGCTGAGAGCTCCTGCCAGGCAATGTCATCTGCCCAGTGTTGCATCCTAAAAGCCCACATCAGAGTCACCACTGATGCTTCTCCTTAGGCTTTCAGCTTCCGAAAATGTAAGCTACATCAACTTCTTTTCTTCAGGAAGCAAACAGCTCCTGGTGCTTGTCACAGCAGTGCAGAACAGACGCCAACGTTAGCCCTAGGTGGACAGAGCACTTCCGACCTCAGGGGTTCCTTCTCGGCCTCTGCCTACTGCAGCAGAAGCTCCGATGGCCATCACAAGGGGACCAGGGCACAGCAGGATGCAGACGCCTGCGAGCCATCCTATACGGCAGGGCTCCCCTAAAATTGCCTCTGCATTCGTGTATTTTCAAAATGCATGCCCATTTTGTATAAAGCATAGAAGTGTCACCAACATGACCCTGGCTGGGTGCCAGCAGCATCCTGAGTGGACACTGCTTAATTGCTGGCCAGCTATGGAACTCTGGACAGCTCACAGCCGTTCTCTCAGTCCCAGTTCCTCTCAGAAGGGAATATGGTATAGAAATTAACCAGCAGGGCTGTCCTCAAAACCAGCTAACCGCCACACTGTATGCAAAAATACTTAGGAGTATCAAATGTCTGCAGGTTGTTTAGAAGAGCCCTCACTATATTTCCAAAATGGTTCTCAACTCCCAAGCTCAAGTCACCCTCCTGCCTCAACCTCACAAACAGCTGCGTCTACATGTTCACACCACAGATAAGATTAAGTTAAGGGCCCGCCAATAGGGAGATAACCTGGCTCTCCGGGTGGACCTACATGTCACCACATGTGTCCTCACAAGAGGAAGGCAGAGGGTGGCTGGACAGTCAGAAGAGAAAATGCCACCCTGCTGGCCCTGAAGACGAGAGAGAAGAATAACTCCTGGCCCGGAAGAAGCTGTAAAGTTGACACTGGGTTGAAGACTTAGATTTTTTCGCTTGCTTTCCCTCCAGGCATAGCTTCTACCACAAGACAACAATGCACAAGTGTGATGTAACACACAGGGGCAGCAGAACCCGGGGCATCCGAGGAGAGGAGGAGGAAGGGAACAGGCGCCCTGGGCTGCGGTCAGGGTAGGGACACCCAGCCTCCAGTCTCTAAGGGAACAAAGTGGGTGCCCAAAGCCACCAAGTTTGTGGAGTTGTTATAGCAACCTCTGTGCTATGCCTAGCCAAGGTGCATATTCTGTGTTTTCAGACAGGCTCTCCCTACCCTCAGTTCTGCCCTGGGCACTAAGGGTCAGGGAACAGCTTCTTGGGCCTTGGAGGCACCCACACCAGCGGAGAGTATGGAAACGGAGGCAGAGGCTTTAGGGTTCTCTCTCCTGCACAAGGTCTGAATCATGCAAAATGTAACAAAAGCGAGATTTACCTGCCGTATCCAGGTGAGCGGTTTCCACATGGGGCCAAATCACACAGGGAGAGCCCTAAAAGATCCAAAAACATGGTTCTAGCTGAGCAACACAGAGAAGCAGGTGAAAGTCATTTCCATCGGTGGCTCCCACAGAGGTGAGCCACAGCTCTACCCAGAGGTCTGTGATGCTTCCTAACGCCACCACCCCAGCGGAGTCCGAGCACAGCACTAATAACACCTACCTGGTACAGCAGATCTTCTGGGAGATTCTGGGGCAGCCCCACAAGGCTGGGATTTCATATCAGACGGCCTGGGCTAGAATCCCAGCTCTGCTTTCACAAACCCTGGGAGCCCAGAGCTGCAGCTTTCAGAGCGACAGATCCAACACTGCTTGGGGACGTGGGGCAACTGTCTGTCTCCCCTGAGTACTTGGACAAGTGTCTTGGCCTCTTGGAGCCTTGGGTCCCCCTTTGAAGAGCAGAGACCTAAAGCTTCCTCCTGGCTTGCATAGCCTCCCTGAGTGTTGACAACGTGTCCCAGCAGAGCCAATCAAACCTACCGCTCCTCCTTGTGAGCCCTGGGCCTGCAAAGGCCCAACCCTCTCTGCCATATGACATTTGCCTTACACAGAGCCCTGACCAGGTGCCAGGTACCTAAGCGAATGGCACAACCAGTGATCCCCATTCCCTAGTGTTCTTCCTCCTCTGGGGTAACCAGGTAACCTGCTCCAGACACAGCCAGTGACTGAGAAAAGCTCACTTCACGCCGGGGTGGCCTGGCTCTGCTGAGTGTGCGCACCCCGGCGAGCTGCTGCCGCTGATCCAAGCAGACCCACTTCAGGTCCGCCTAGGCTAGGGGCTCAGCGCGTTCACATGAGGAGCCTGAGACACCCTGCCTAATCTCTTAGGCAAGTTACATTACCACCGCCCAACAGACCACTGCATGGCTGCTCCAAAGAATGAAGCCCAGCGGCCCTGCAAGCCAGAGTCCAGGACTCTGCCCAAAGCAGCTGGACGCAGAGCTCCAGGAGATGTCTGATTACAACGTCCCCATAGCAGCTGGGATGCAGGGAACCCAGAAGCTCATCGACAGATGAGGCTTTGATAAAGCAGGTGTGATGCACCCACACAAGAGCATAGTACTTAGCCTTAAAAAGGAGCAAATTCTGAGATGGACAGGGGTAAACTTCGCAGGCCGTTAAACCAAGGGAAGGGAACCACAGGACACAAATGCAAAGCCTCTGTGAACTTACACAGGGAAGCTAGGAGGATCAGATCTTTAGAAATAGAAGGGGGAGGGGTGGCTGCTGGACGCTGAGAAAAGGGGGGCTGAGGAACTGGTCACAAATGGGCACAAAGTTGCAACTTTTCAAGATGAAAAGAGCTTCGGAGAAGCTTCCCACACCAGTGTAACAGGTATAACAGCCCTACAAATACTGAACTGTACATTTAAAAATAATTACAATGGTAACATTATGACATTTTGATATTTACAATATGTAACTTACTACAATCAGAAGAGAAGTAGATAAATCAAAGAGATCTACATTTACCTTGAAACAATGCTATGGCATATCAAGTGGAATCATTAGGGCACAAAATTACAAATAGTATGATCCCATTTAATAATGATGGGGTTTATAACACATGGAATACATCATTACATATTTACGTTTAGTCATATTTACAGGTATTTTGTATGTTTACCTGTTCACTTTTATTTATGCCTATATATTTGTAGGTTTAGCAATTTAATACTGTATATTTCATAATGTATTTAATGCTAATATTCACATACCAATATTCACATAATACCAATACTAATATTCATACAGTATCATATGCTATTTATACTATAATATCACAAACTATACTAATAATAAATAATATAATTTATCACCTATCACCTAATAATTTGTCACCCATGTGATGGATCTCTAAACCTCAGATGGGAGAGGCCAAGGTGGGACACCCAGGGCCTACAAAGGCCTGAGTGCTTTCTTGTACAGCTCCCAGAAGGGCTGCTTCAGAGTGACAGAAGAGAGGGGGTCCCATTGGCGGTGAGATGGGCACAGGCAGGGCCAGGACACAGGGAGGCAAATGCTCAAGGTGCTGAGGGCACCAAGACCCAGGTCCCTATAGGAAAGTGAGGTGCCCTGGGCCTGCCCCACGCTCAACGCCTTTCCAGAGCCCCCGCCTCGCCAGACCAGGGCTGCTGACAGACACAGAGCACCCCAGTGCTCCAGCACAGATCTCCAGAGCTGGACCACCTGCAGAGCCGAGGGGGTAGAACTCTGCCCTATTCTCTGAGCAGAGAATGGCCTGGGGAGGGGACATCTCTGCCTGGGTCTTGGTTGTCTCCCCTGCAAAATGGGACCAGACACTTCCACTCTCCCAGGAGGAACCCGCCAAAGGACCCTGGGACACATTGTCACAGGGCAGTGTGAAGCTCCCTACACTGACAGTGCTTATGGAGGGACAACCTAAGAAACCCGAGGCAGGAAGGGGCAGATCTCCTGTAAGGCTCCTGAACTTTCTCTGCAGTGTAGCCTGGGGTCTGCGGGCGGGGTATCTATCGTGACCGCCAGGGCCAGCACTGCTCCCAGTTCAGGACCAAACAGGAGGAGGACCAAGGGGAAGGGCCTAGAAAATCCATCGTGGCACCCAGTACAGTGTCATCAGGGAAAACTCAAGCCAATGGTCCGGACTCTCATTTCACTGCCACCACCTTGTGACACCTGTAGCATTCGCCTGGCCTGGATGCGCTGCAAACTCACAGATCTCTGGGGAGTTCGCATGGCCCCCCAGTGTAGACTGGGACAAAGTGGTGAACTGACTTGCCCTGGAACTCAGAGTTCTCAGGGTGCGGAGCAGATTCGAACCCAGGTCACCAGCCAAGCTGAAGCCGCAGCCACCACGGCGTGCAGCCTCCCCTTTTCCTCGAGGTTCCCTGGACACACGCGGACTGCGCCCCAGAAATACCGCAGCATCCTATTCACACCCTGCCCTCCCTTCCCGACCTTCAGGCAACGCGAAGAGCCGCGGGTGTAGACGGTCGGCATCGGGTCGGACCTGCTTTACCTGCGGTCCGGACGGTGCCCCCAGCGCCAAGGCCGCGGCCAGAGCGCCCCCGGCCAGCACCCAGGCGGCGCGACCGCGGGGGCCCGCGGAGACCATCGCTCGGGGACCCAGCCCCAAGCAGGCGCGCCGGGCGGAGTTGCCTGAGCTTCCGGACCCCGGGCCCGCCCCGTCGCCGAGCATGCTCAGTGCGAGCGCCCGAAAGTTTTTCAGGCACCAAGGCGCGCATCTGGGGCGCGGCGCCCGGAGGGGGGCGCGGGAGGGGCCGTGGGGCCGAGGCCTGGAAGCACAGAGGCCGCGCGGGATCCCACAGTGCCCAAACCAGATCGGGTCGCTCTCCGGTCCTCAGGACCCCTCCATGACCACCTACTGGTTCGCTAAACCTCAGTGCTGCCTCCCTCCTTTAGGAAATCTTCCCTGATACCCAGGGACCTCGGATCCCCGCCAGCCTCGCCACTGACATCAGCGCCAGAGGAAAACAGCGGCCTTTGGAGAGGCGGGGCCACGAGTCAGAGCGGAGCACGGAGGGCCGGGGAGGGCTGAGAAGAAAGCTGACCCCACTTCCGGTTAGGTTCAGCTCCTTCCAGACCAGCACCCTGCGGAGCCCTTTCTTGGATTAATAGCCCCAGACCTCCTACATGGCCAGGGAGGCAGGAAGAAAGCCTGGCCCGGGGCCACCTCTGGAGAGCCAGAAAGCCCTTCAAGAGCTGGAGAAGGACCTAGACGAACTTCCTCTCTCTTCCTTGTCCTCTCGCAGGGCCAGGGTGACAGCTCAGGGCTGCTCACCAGGAAGCGTGCTCCTCTCCTGCCAGCCTCTCCTCCACTTCTGCGGTCTGTGGCCTCCTACGTAGGGGAGCCTAGCCCCTGGGCAGCCCTTTCCCCTCCAAGGACAGGCCTCTCTGACCTGTAGGCAACAAGGTGGTGGGGTCTGAGCATCTGGGAATTTATTAGCCCAGCTCCTCAGCTGGGTGTGCTGCCTGGGGGGTCCCCAGCTGCATCCTGCGCTGTGAGAAGGCAGGAGGCTGCCAGGTGTCTCATTGGGGCACCAATATTATGCAATAGTGCACAAAAAAGAAATTTAATATCCAAATAACTTTAAGGTAGATGCAAAGAATACTAAGCCCGAACACCAAAGCCCAAGCACCAAAGAAATATCCAGCATAAGCAAGAGCTCCACCTCACTGGCACACACAGAGATGTCCCCAGGAACACGGCAATGCTTGCAGGGATCACCTAAGAAACTCCAGAAAGCAGAGGCTGGCGAATCTCCTCAGGCACACGCTGTCCTCAGGTGCAAGAGCTTGAACAAGTCACTGCTCCTCTGAAGCTGTGTGTGGGCTGCTTAGTCTGTGTAAAGGATAAGGGATTAAGAAACATTCCCATTTCTTCCACCTAGAAAGGCCGATGAGGAAAGGAGCAAGCAGACGCGAGGTCATCCAGGACGTCAGGCTGAGAGCACAGAGCCCAGGCACCCAGCACAGAAGGCCTCTCGGGTGCAGCCTTGCCCCTTGTTCGGGGAGGAAAAGGAGCCGAAATGTGTGCACTCGTGTAGCTGTGTGTCCGCTGCTGCATCCCCAGCTAGCACCCGGTAAGCAAGGGCTGGCTTAAAACACAAGACGAGGCACTGTCTAACGGCCTTTCTCCTGCAAGGCTGAGAACCTCGGCGCCTCCTCTGGGAAGATGCAGCAGATTCGCTGCCAGTGCCCAGGGATCGGGTGACCATGCCGTCTCTCGGCTCTGCTGGGGAAAAGCACTGACCCTCGTAGACGGAAACAAGAGATTTCGGGCCCACGTTCAGAGGCAGTTCCGTCTGTGCGCCCAGGAAGGCCACAACCCAGCCTTGGCAGCAGGGCCCGCGGTCGCCCTGCACTAGGTCTGAGGCGAGCTGCCTCCTCCTGGGAGGCTCGGCCGTTCACCGGCACACATCTGTGGAGCCGGGAGAAACGTTAACTTGGGCATCGCATTAACTGCGAGGCGTATCCCAAGCGCTAGTAAACTCCATGGTGTCTGGATGTTTGGGGGTTCCCTGCAGAAGTACGACCCAGCAGCGGGCTGCGAGGCGCCCCTCTCGCCGCCGGGCATGCTCAGTGCGCGCGCAGGGCTGGGATGGGGGAGGCTCGAAGTTTTGGGCGGTCGGTGCAGGCTCCTCCCTCGCTGTCTGGCGGATCCCGGAAAGTGGAGAGGACCCGGGAGAGCACTGCTCCCGCCGGAAAGTCGGAAGCGCCTGAGCCCCGGGCCGCCGGAGCTCTGCGGCCCTTGTCGCCAAGCTGGCGGGGGCAGAGCCAGGCCGGAGCAGTGCGCGGAGGCAGCGGCGGGCGGGATGCGGCCGGTCTGCCGCCTGAGCGCCCCCGATGGCCCGTGGCGCAGCGGCCTGCGACAGCGACGCGCGGCTGCTGCTCGGCCGGGAGGCGCTGCGCCCGGTGCCCGCGCTGCTGGCCCCCGCCGTGCTGCTGGGCGCCGCACTCGGCTTTGGCCTCGGCCTCTGGCTGGGTCGCCGTGGGGGCCGCCTGCGCCCCTGGCACCAGGTGGGTGTGCGCTTGGTGGTCCGATCCTCCTGGGAGCGAGCTACGCTTCGGCTTTGGACTCCTCTTTTGTTCTGGGGGGATCCGGGACTGGGATTTCAGGGAGGCCACTGAGTGACTGAAAGGTTTTGGCCTGGAGTCCCTGTGCGGTGTGGTCTTAAATCCCTTCCGGGCCTCAGTTTCCTCATCCTTAGGCCGCAGAACATGGACACGATGCTGGTAAGTGTCACAGCTAGGGATGGAGGACCGAGGGGGCAGCGGCGCGCACTCTGGTCGACTGCGGGCCCTTTTTCCGGGCCAGTCTTGAATACCTCCAGCCACGGGCTGGGCTCTTAAGTTCGCTCACCCCTGTAACCTCAGGGTGCTGAGTGTCTGCCGCTAAGGCCCCTGCGTGGGCAGGAGCAACCCTGTACTTGAGGCCCACGGCCTGGAGAAGGAGGCAGAGCGGAATGAACACTGATTGTGATAGCACACGGTGGATTCTACCAGGGAGAGATAGGAACACCAGCATTACTGAGTCTCAACCATGCCCGGCTCTGAGCTAGAATCTCTGCCTGATTCATCCACCGACTCCCAGCAGCCTTGTGTGGGTTCCATTGATGACCCCAGTTTGCAGATAAGGAAATCGAGGCTCGGAGAGGTTAAGTACCTTACCAAAATGATGGGTATATGTCTAGTCGCAGAGCTGCTGTATTCTGTGTGGGCGAGGAGGAGGGTGGCCGACTGCAGATTCACACAGGCTTCCCGGGCCAGTTGTCCAGGGCTGGGACTCACAGAAATGCCCGATCCACAGCAGGCGTTCAGTGCCCAGTGGTGCTGAGGCGTGGGTGACTCTCAGAGCCTTGCAGCCTCAACCTCTTTGAGGGCAAAGTCTGGTAGGATCGGAGATCGCTGTGACATGGTCTTACCAACCCCGATTCCCCATCCTCCTGCAGAGGAGAAAGTCTCTTTCCATGGGAAGTGTGGGGCACAGAGCTGCTAAGGACCGGAAGTAGAGAGGGCAGGGTTTCAGGGCGTTCGGTCCTTCACCCTCCTTCCAGGTCTGTGAGACAGGAGCTGTGGTCATCTCCCTTTACAGCCCAGTGATTGAGGTCTGCAGGGTCGGTGTTTCTCCAGGATCCTGTGAAGAACCAGTGTCCGGGATGGAATGATCCTCAAGCCAGAACCTCCACCATGGCTACCTGCTTGGGTGGCGGTGTATACCCACATGGGAGCATAAGCTCCCGTGTATGTAACCACACTGTCTGGGTTGGCGAACCACTTAAGGGTGACAGAGCTCAGACCTGGGTGGTAGCTGAGGAGCGGGCTCTGGCTTAGTGGCAGGGTGACTGGTTTTCTCATGGTTCAGATGTGACATTTGAAACCACCTCCTTTCTAGTGGGAGCCCTTTCCTCCTGTCTGTACTCTCCAGTCTCTGTTTCTAGAATGCACCTGTGACACTGTGACTCTCCTGATGCAGAGCTCCAGCTGTGCCTAGCTGCCTACAAGGATGATGGCTTGGAGCACCAGGTTGCCTGCCTGACCCATATGCCCACCCACAGGAGTTACTGTTCCCTGGTGCCTCGTCTGCAGTCACACAACTTCTGCTCCAGCTATGTCTGCTCAGCCTCAGGACACAGATCACCTGGGGCAGCTTTGCTGGCCGTGCCTTCGGGAACTAAAGCTTCCTCCTGCTTCCCATTATTTTCTGCTGCTAGCCCATGGCTCATAATTTTATCTTGTAAAACTTTCCTTTTCTTCTTTCTTTTGTTTATTTTATCATTACTTTTTAGACTGCATCAAAGTTACCCAGGTATATAAGGTGTTAGCTTGCAAGCAGCAGCACCCCCTCATTCCCACATCTCTCAAGCCAGTGTGCAGGGTTCTGTGAGCTGACTCTTTCGTTAAACTGTTCTCCATCGCTAAGTAACTCAATTTCATGGCTGCTGTTTGCTGCTTTTTTTTTTTTTTTTTAAAGCTTTCGGAAATAACCGTAGACTTTGCATGCAGGAAGGTAGGAGGACTTAGCCTCTTCCCTTGCCCATAAGCACATCCACCCTCCCAGACCTCTGTGTGCCTGGATGGTAATTTGGATTAAATCAGTGTTGTGTCTCCATTATCATGATTCTGTAATCAGTGCTCACTGTGAGTCAGGAATCAGATGGCATGAAGATTGCCATCCTTTTCTGTACACTTATTTCCCCTGACATTAGTAGCTCCCAGATTTTTTATTTGCTTAGGTTCTATGTGCTTATCCCTCATTTAACACGGAAACGTCCCTCGTTTGTACATATTTCTTTTCAATACATTTGAACTCGTAAGGTATTTGATCAGTTTAATCTTCTGAACAAATATTTATTTTTTTAACAAATGTATTGCTCCCAGAAACATCTGACATCCCCCAGTGGGAATGGCTGTTCTCTAAGTGGAGAACCAGATCAGCTGTCAGCAACATGAGAACCCCAAACCTGGGTCCCCACCCAGACCTACAGCTGCCCATGTATCCCATCTTAGACTGTGAAGAGAAAACTCTCCGGCCATGGCTGCCACCTCTGAGCCCTCCCCAGGCTTCCCTGGGGCTTACTGCTCTCTCCTGTGGGCTCTTGTGTCAGGACCCCCAGCGTTTGCTTGGCCCACTACCATTGCTGTGTGATTGCACACCCGCAGGAGCTTTCTGAGCAGGGGTGGATACAACTCTTTGGAAAACCTCTTTATCCTTCCATCTTTACCCTTTTTACATTAGGCGAGGGACCCCATTTCCTCCCTAAAGTTGGAAGGTGTTTTCTTCCAACTTCTTGTTAGTGTTGAGAGGCTTAATGCTATTCTGAGTCTTGAGACTTTGTGTGAAACTTCTTTTTCCTTTTGCTCATCTATGGAATGGTGAAGAATCTGTTCCTTGCCCCAGTGTGTGAAATTGCATCAGGATGGTTTTGGGAAGAGTCTTGTTATCCCATGAGTTGGGCATTTGGCAGGATCTTGCATTCTAGAAGCTTGCTGTTTGTTTGTTTTGTTTTTGTGATTTTTTTTTTTTTGGCTTCTTTGAAGATTCATTTTCTCTTACATGTTCTCTGCTTTCAAACACCCTGTTGTGCCTAGGTTGAATTAGACCCCTCATTTTATTATTCTTTCCAATATCCTTTTATCCTTTTCCAATATCTCTTTTATCTTTTTTCAAAATACTACTTTCTAGTGGACTTTTCTTTACCCTTGTAATTAAGCTTTTCATAATGCTATTTTTTATTTTAATTAGCACATGTTTGCAATACAAAACAATCACATTACTCGTGGGGAGTTGGTACATAGACGTAACACATCTTAATTTCTTTTCTCTCTCTTTTTCCCCCTCTGTCTCTTGGTCCCCTTGCCTTGCAAAAGATCTATCTTTCTGTTTCCTTTTACCTATCTTTTATTTTGTTCTTTCTTTATTTGGGGGGTTTCTCAAATAAGAGAAACCATGCAATATTTAAGCTTTGTGTCTGATTTATTTCATTTAACATTATGTTCTCAAGGTGTGTCCATTTTCCTACAAATGGTTCAAATTCACACTTCTTTACAGCAGCGTATTTATATCACAATTTCATTATCCATTACATAATTTTAATATTTGAGCTCTTCCTCTGTTCTCAAACGCCTCTGTTTATACCATGCTGTTCTTATTTTGTAGGATATCTTCTCCAGTCTCTGAAGATATTACCATTGTTGTGTGTTGTTTCTCTTTTCCCTGTGCAGTATCTGATCCATGCTTGCTTTGTTCTTTTGCTTAGCTTGGATTTTGCTCTTCAGATAAGAGCAGCTGTAGACTCTTGACCACTCGGTCATTTTCAAGGGGATCTCTAAAATTCAGGTCTCCTGTGGAGTCAGAGGAGTTTTCTTCTGGGGTCTTTATTATAGAATGATCTGATCAGGTCCTTCCTTACAGAACTCGCACACTGGTCAGCTACAGTTGCTAAACAAACCCAAACTCCCTAGCCATATCTACCCTCTTGACCTCAAGATCCACTGCAGAGTGCTCCACATGCGTAGATTTCCTTAGGGCCCAGGTCTGTGCCTGCCCCAGGGCCTTACACCTGCTGTTCCCTCTTCCTAGAATGCTCTTCTCTGGGTATCTCAAAAGTTCACTCCCTTGTTTCTTTTAATTTTTTAAAATGCTGCCTTGTCTGAGAGGCTCCCTCCAGTCACTCTGCATTCTCCCACCCTGCATATCTTTATAGTACTTATCATCCCCACCATGCTGCATGTTCATTTGTCTGTGTTTTTCTTCCTTCCTGGAACATCAACTCCTGGAAGGCAGGGACTTTGTGTATTCGTGAGCATACGCAGGACCTGGATCAAGGCTTGGTGCTCACTAGATGCTCAGTGATACTTGCTGACTAACCCAGTAACAAATTGGTGGTATTATATCTGAGCAGCTGGTAGCCAACGGGGAGGTACAAGTGTCTCTGCCACAGCAGAGTTCTAAATAGAGTCCATTCTTACTGTTTATGGTAGTTATGTTCATCAGAGTTGCTGAGGTCACTGAGCTGTGAATGCAGAACCTTTGTTCCTAGAGGAACATCTGGTTAGGTCCTTTGAGACTCTGGTCACAATGTTCTTATTAATCCATCTTTTGGGATGTTGTGTGATGGGTGTTTCTGTTTAAAGACCCTCTTTCAGTACTATTGCTGACAGTCACCACTGTGCTCACCGCTGGTGGCGTTAAACTTGCCTGAATGAGTTCATCGTCTCTGCTGAGCTCCTAATCACTGTTGAGCCCATCACAACCCTCCAGCACCCACGAGCACTAGATAGCACGTTGGCACCACAGCTGGGGATGATTTCTGACAGCAAAAGCACCTATAAAACACAAAATTGCAAAAAACCTGGCACATTAATTAGGCTGCTGGAAGGACATTTGTTTACAGAAGGAGAAGGGAGCAAGAGGAGAGGACCAGACCTTGTTTGTCCACAACCAAGCATGCAAATCAGTGACTCCTGAGTTTCCATGTCCTGCATGCATCTGTATCTGGCTGTGACAGCCCTCAGGCAACCAATCCCTTGGTCACTAATACATTTTAGCCACTAAATGATTTTGCAAGTACAGAATCCACATAATTATGGTTCACAATTGAAACACCTCTGTAGTTTATGGTAACTTAAGATGTTTTCTTAAAACTCATTAGGTGGCATTGTTGAAAGCAGCAGAAAAATTAATACATGCCATTTTCAGTGCAAAGCAGACACCATCAAGGCTCATGGTCCACTGGAGGCCACAGCCAAGCCAGAAGAGAAATGAAAGCTGCTTTGCCCAAGTCTGGCCTCTTGAGCCCTAGGGGCTCTTTCAAATGAGGCATCTCAGGGGACTCTGACCGCCTTATCCTGGGGTACATTGAGATGAGCAATCTGGGGAAATCTGGGAGCTTCTTAGGTAGGTGACTTAGGCGGTCCTGAAGGCTGGGTCAGACTGCAGGGCACCTGAGTGGGGGATTGGGTTGGCCAAAGCACTGGGAAAGACAGCCTGGGCCGGTTAACTTTAATATCATATTTCTATCCAACCCCGGGGTTTAGAAAGACGACACTCAATATCTGCTCAAGGATTTGGAGCTGAGTTCACAGAGCCCCTTGGAAGCTGGCTCCCCATCCTCAAGGAGGAGGAACAGAGAAGCACAGGTGCCCCGGGATGAGGAGACTGTGGAGGTGAGCTTCCCATCCTGTCTGTTTGCCTGGGAGCACCTTGGGGGTGGAGTAACCTGCATGGTGTCATGCCACCATCTCTGACAGCCTGTTTTCCCATTAGGCTTCCTCTTCGAGGCATTTACATGCAACAAAATGCACATATTTTACGTTCAAAGTTTGACAAAGAAGTTTAACAAAGGTCTACAATTTGGAAACCAGTACACCCACCCCTCCACCTGGAGAAAATCGACCCAGAAAGCTCCCTGGTTCCCCCTACGGGTCAGTTTCTTGTGTGCACTCTTGTAGAGGTGGCCCTGGCTGTGATTCCCAAGGGCTTGGATGGGTTTTGTGGATCTAGACCTTGATGTAAATGGAACCCTGTGCTCTTCTTGTGCCCATTCCCACCGCGGCACACTTCTGAGATTTTCGTCTTGTTGCTCACGTCTGCAGCTGTTCCTGCTCTGTTGCTCAGTGGCGGTTGGTTTTGTGGTTTCTCACCCACGACTTGGTGGGTGCACAGTTGTTCACCATATTTGACACTTATGCATAAGGCTGTCACAGACCTCTGCATCTGAGTGTCTTTTCACTTTGTATTTCTTTTAAGTGCACATCTTGGAAAGGAATGTTGGGCGCCTGCAGGATATTGAGCAATAGCCAGAGTCCCATTCCTTCCAGGATCCACACGCAGCTTAACCCTGGGGGAGCTCCCTGGGTGGTGAGGGTGTGACATTTGCACTCTCTGCCTGGTGCCCCCCAAAACAATGCAGACTTGTCTCCTGGGAAGGAAAAAGTGGGAGTGGCTGATATCACATGGCTGTTCCTGTCTCCTTGGTGCCAGATGTAAACCCCAGTGGATTATCTCATGCAGTTCTTATTCATGTCCCCATTTTCCAAATAAAGGAATTGAGACTCAGGGAGAGAAGAGCTTCCCTGAGTCCCACTGCTGGGGAGCGGCCAGCAGAGACCTGTTCCTGGCTCTGTCCAGCAAATGCTGCTGTCTCTGCCACTTTGCATAAAGGCCTTCTCATTCCACAGCCCCTGCTGACCTCTAAGGAGAGGGGGGACGGTGGTGCATAAGGAACTTCACTGGAGATCGGAGATTGGGGTTCAGCTGCTGGTTATGCTCAGGCACCCCACCTGTGCATCCCCGGGCTGTCCTCATGATGTTGGCAGGAGCCTATGGAAGGGAGGGTGGCTCTGGCTGAACTGGAGGTCACAGAGATGGAGAGCGCACACTCTGTTTCTAGAGCAGGGCTACTATACACTGATTCATGCTACTACACACTGTGGAAGAACCTTGAAGTCATTACGCTAAGTGAAAGTCACAGAAGCCCACCAGTGGCAGGATCCCATTCACAGGAAATGTCCAGAATTATGGGGGAAGTAGACAGAGTTTCCCTGGCCCTGAGGCAAGGGAAGGGAGGGTGGGGTGATTGCTATCAAGGTTTCTCTTTGATGCAATGAACATTGCTGAAACTGGCCATGGTAACAGTTACACTGAAGATACTGAAAACCATCACCTTATGTCCTGCACACAAGTGAAGTGCACAATACAGGTATATGGATGCTATCTTGATTAAAAAAAAAAAAAAGAAGAAGAAGAAGAAGAACTGTTAAAAAGAAAAATAAGAAACAACGCATTCATACTAAGCCACTTCACATGGATAGAAACAGCCCTGGCTTTGGGATCCAGCACTAAACCCCATGCCAGCTTTGCTGGGTATTTATACAGGATGAGTAAGAAGCCTCATGGCCTGGGCCTCAGTCATCTTGCTTTTACAGTAAGGTCACAGTGGATTCCCCTGCGGCATCCCCAGGGCTGGGATCTCTAATACGAGTTTGCAGGGGGAATCACATCTTTCTACACCCTGAACAGTTAACTCCTATTTTTCCTGCCTACCTAATGCCTAATTAATGTTTTACTTGCTAACTATTCAGCTATGCCCAGCAGGCGCCCATTGCCAGGCTAATAATTGTCCAGAGTTAAGTTAGCACTCTGCCTGTTAGCCGGCTGGCTGGCCAGAGCCTCCTTCTGCAGACTGCAGAGTGGCAGGGCTGAACTTGCTTGTACGCCAGTACAGCCAACCGGGGATGTCCGGTCCCTGGCATTCCTTGCCTGACCTGTGTTTAATGAGTGCCTCCTGTGAGCCAGAAGCACGCAGGGAATTCTGTGGGCTCTGAGGCTGCCGCCCCACCATCCAGTTGTCCATGCCAAGCCTCTGCTGTGGAGGGAGGGAGAAGGGACTGAGCCACTGTTGGGTGCCTGCACCGCAAATGATTCCTTTATGTCGGAGAGCAAAATAGCTTTCCTCCTACAGTTATGCTCTAATTTTCTGAATAATTGTATGGCTTCAGCTGAATTGCAAATTTGTACTACAACTGGTTCTCTGAGTAATTCTATTTTCTCAGCAGGAATGGCTTAGAATTTAAAGGATACGGAACTTTGCAAGGACAGCTTTGAAAAACTGAAGTCCTTCCATTCTATTTGGGCTGCAGACACCTGTTCAGTCCTTGATCCCTTGTTCCAAGAACTCCTGGCCACTTCCTCCCCTCAGCCAAGGCCAGGGCACTCTGTGGGCCCTGCCTGCCCTTCAGGTCTCTGCAGGCTGCACACAAGGTGGGGGGTAGAGGATTCAGACCAAGACTGTGGCAGAGCCTAGCCTGGGCTCCAGTCCCCACTCCACCCCCACCCCGGTGCAGCTTCACGGGGGCCCAAATGGCCTGGCTCCAACTCCTTTCCTTCCATTGTGTTTTCCACACTACGTGCAATTTCTCCTTTTCGTCTCCCCTTTGGAAGGTGCATCCCAGGAAGGCAGAGAGGCCAGGCTTTCCTCCTGTCTTTCACCCCTTTCCTCCTCCCATTTCTTTTCATCTCTGTAGGAGGTTTTAAAATGCACAAGGCACAGTGGGAGGCTGAGGCAAGATTACTGCAGTATAAGAAGCATTGCCAGGAATCCCTGCAAACCATACCCCCTGGCTGGGAACACACTGGTTCCTGGTTCTTGCCGCTTCCTAAAGCAACCCTGGATCCTTGTCCTGTGTGTCTTTAGCTGTGCTTTCCTGGCTGCCTCCGTGTCCCGAGTTGATTCAGAACTTTTCCCTTTCACGCTCGTTTTGACGTTGGGGACAGCCAGAAGCCACGCAGTGCCGGATCCGATGACTAAGTCGCATGAGGACGCAGCATCATGCTGTTGGAAGCCTGCGTTTCCCTGGACGGCACCGGACAGCAGCAGTCACTGCATGCTTTTAACCCCACCTTGTAAAACCACTCAGGAAAGAAGGCATCCAGAACTGCTTCAGAAAGTGGCAGGCATCGTGGGATAAGTGCCGAAACTGAGGGAGGACTGAGCGGGATCACGGTCAGACGTCTTTTAACGCAGCACTGTAAACGTTCGCTGAAGGTTTGATCGCCTTTTGTACACAGGCTGCGCTGTTGGCTCTTGGCTCCTCCATGAGCACCCCAGTGCGAGTCACAGATGAATGAAGCCCTGTGTCTGGGCCAGGGTGGCCCTGGCAGCTGGGACTAGTCACGTTCTCTGCAGCTCTTCCCTAGGAGCTAAGCTGAAAGCACCTTGGTTTTCTCACTAGGCTTGCAGATGTCATTGCTCAGAGGGCAGGTCTGTGCTGCCAGCCCCCTGCCACCACTCCCCGGGTTGCTGGTTCCCAAGCAGGTATTTGAGGACATGGCTGGGGAGCAGAGGCGGTGGGCAAGCCAAGCAGGGCAAGGCAGGAGTAAGTCCATCCTGTTGTGGGCCAGGGAGGCTTCTGTGCAGAGGGAGGGGAGCTCACGACCAGAGCTACGCCAGCTACCTCTGTGCTGAGCCCTCAGCTGTGTGCTCCATCCCTGTGGTCCTTGGGGACAGGTCCTCCTGACCTCTTTACTGCCAGGGAAGACCAAGGCTGCCTGAAGGTCAAAGGGTTGTCCAGCCACTCTTTTGTTGAATGGATAATTCAGAACCTTGTGTGAGCATTGCCCCTGTGTTTATAGCCTAACAGTGTTGATTTTTAATTAAAAAATTTTAATTAACAACCATTGTACCTAGTACAGTGTCTGTATGATAATCTGCTGTCTGTAACCATCAGATTAAGGGCAACTAGCATTTCCATCTCCTCAGCGTTTATCATTTTGATGTGCTAGGAAACTTCAGACCACTCCACCAGCTGTTTGAGACACACCACAAATTATTGCTGGCTGTAGTTAACTACTGTACCTCAGAGCACAAGGACTAATTCCTCCTACTCCAAAGTTATTCCATGGCTTTGCTTTTTCCATGTAAGATGGTTCACAGTTCTTTAACAGACTCGTTAATTAGTATCAGGTTGTTAAAATCCTTATTACTTCCAAAGCTGAAGAATCAGAATTAAATGACACCATCTATTTGTCTAAGAATTTGTCAGTATACTCACTCACACATCCATCATTCAACTCTCCATCTGTCCACCCATCCACCTATCTACTAATCCTTCCCTCTCTTTATCCATGTTTTGATCATCTTTCTATTCACCTGTCCATCCATTTATGCATGTGTCTACTCATCCATCCATCAATCTATGTACCCATCCACCCACCCATCTATCCACCCACCCATCCATCCATCCACCCATTCATCCATCCATCAGTCCACTCATCTATCCATCCACCCATCCATCCACTCATCTATCCATCCACCCATCCATCCACCCACCCATCCATCCTTCCATCCACCCATCCATCCATCCATCCACCCATCCATCCAACCATCCATCCACCCACCCATCCATCCACTCATCCATCCACCCATCTATCCATCCACCCATCCACCCACCCATCTATCCACCCACCCATCCATCCATCCACTCATCTATCCACCCACCCATCCATTCATCCATCCACTCACCCATCCACCCACCCATCCATCCATCCATCCACCCATCCATCCATTTACCCATCCATCCTTCCACACATCTGCCCACATGCCCATTCATCCAGCTGTCCATCTCTACCCGTCCATCCACCCACCCATCCCCCTAGGAGGTGTATGCTTAAATGAATCTAATTGGGCCTCTCTTGGTGACTTCTTGGAGCTACTGTTAGAGTTAGCAGATGGAATTTTGGAAACTCTTCAAGTCTGTCCTTCACTTTACTGAAACCTCCCATGCCATGTATTCCCTCTCCTTCCCAGGAATGTGAGCCAGCTTTCAACAGCAACATCACAGCATTTGCACTGAAGGCCAAGGTTGTCTACCCCATCAACCAGAAGTTCCGGGTGAGAGTTTTGAGTTCCTTTAGACAGACAGTTAACTCAGGAATCTCCTAGAGTTTGGAGTAGGGTGAAGGGATTAAATGTTCAATTTGCAGTCCCTGTCAAAGGTTTTGTAGCAAGCTGTTTTCCCACAGAATCCTTGGCTGGCTGTAGTTACCCAACTGTTCCCAAACACACACAGGGACCCGTGGGACAGGTGGATGGGGGAAGTGTGTTTGCACATGAGAGCAACCATGGCTGAACCCAGTGGGCAGGCACTGCATGGGACCTGGGACTTCCTGTAACTGGGAGGACACTGACCATTCCCAGGGGGCCTCAGGGTCTGGCAGATCCAACATGTGACAAAACAGGCCACACAGTCATGCCCAGGGACCTTTGGAACCCAGCCCTAGACCCAGGTTGGTGTGGAGAGGAAGGGATGGTTCGGCCTAGCAAACAAGGAGCAGCCCATTCCAGGCAGCGGGAGCAGAGTCTGGGACCCAGAAGTAAGCATAGCAGAAGGGTCTCTGAGTTAGGGCAGCAGGGGATAAGGCTGTGACACTGGGGGCCATAGGAGGGCAGAGGGACCCCCTTGAGGCCTGGGTGGAGAGTGACTCCGAATCCCTGTAGGGAGAGCTGAGTGCATGGCCAGCTCTACAGGCCTGGGGGCAGAGCCGGGCACAGCAGGTGGGGAGGCTGCTTGGGGGAGGTCAGAGTGGCTGCTGGATGCACGTGCGGGTGGGTGTTGGGAGCAGAGCCAGGTGATGCTCTGAGGAAGAAGCCTGGTGCAGAGGGCAAGCCATGTTGAAACAAACGAGCTGTGACTCAAGCCCCTGCACCCTGGCTGCGGCTGTGACCCTGGGAATAAGCAGTCTGCTGCAGCCAGGCCCTGCCGCCACCAAGGAGCACACCCCCAGGCATGCCCGGACTAACAGGCCACTCTGCCACCAGCCTCTAGCTGACGGCTCCTCCAACCCGTCCCTGCATGAGACCCTGAAGCCCACAGCCCTGCCACACCAGCCAGGGGGACCCTCGCCATCCAGCAGCCTGGGCAGCCTGAGCCCGGCCGAGAAGGATGAGTGCAGCTCCTCCTGCAGCTCCCACTCGGCCACCAGTGAGGACAGGCTGCTGTGCCGGGCCTTCCTGCAGGCGAGGAGCTTCCCCGAAGTGCTGGCCTGTGAAAGGTGAGTGGGCTGGCTAGGGAGGGGCATGGAGCTCTGAGTCTGAGGCAGCCACAGAGGCCCAGAGAGGTTAAGTGACCCCGCCAGGGCCACCCAGCAGTCAGTGCCACAGCTGGGATCCCGGTGCTCCTGTCACTCGTGGAAGCAGTGTTGATTGATGCTGGAGAGACCAAATCAGGTTTGCAGCCTGGGAGAGGGGAAAGGACCTTGCTTATTTTAGGTGTGGCCTACACACTGCGGCTGCAGCAGGCAATAATGGGCACCTTCCAAGGGCAGGGCATGGGCTCAGTGGGGCTTGATGGAAGCAGTGACCACATGAACACAGGGCCCAAGCCCGTGCTGTTTCCTGCTCTGTCCTGTTACCCAGAAGGGCAGCCTGGGCCGGTTTCTGTGGTCTATAAATAGGAATCAATGAGCAAATCCACCAACAACCCTACCAGGCAGATGTCTGATAGTCTCCTGCTTCACAAAGACAGAAGCAAGACACCGAGAGGCTGAGTGACTTCCCCAGGTCCCCAGGCACACACAGCACAGCTTTGCTGACCCAACTACTTCATCTCCAAAGCCTTAGGCTGTGGTCCTTAGGCTGCTCTGAAGCTCCAGGAGATTAGGGAGGGTGAACCAGTCCTGGATGAGCTCAGGGCTGCAGAAGGGGTGGTCCAGGGCCTCGAACTTCATGTAAACCCGAGAGTGGCCTAAGGGAGGGAGCTGTAGCAAATGGGAGTTTTCAGGGTGGGTAAACAAGCCAGCTCCGGCGTGCGGTGGCTACACTTCAGAAGTTGTCACACTTGTGCTGCCTATGAGGGACACAAGGCACAGAAAGGTAACTGTGTGGCCTTCACTGGACATCCCAGGTCCTTTGTGTCCTGAGTCTGTGAAGTGCACTGAGGGGACAGGCCATGTGTTCCAGGGATGATGTGAGAGGCCAATACCCTTCTCTGGTCATTAGGGTGTGTGTCGCAGCTCGCTGGCCTCCCTGCTGCCTCCTTCGGGGCATAAGACTCAGCAGCATTGCAAAGTGAGGGCCGGGACATGCCCCAGTGCACTGACCTCCCTTCTCCCATGGACACACTGACCTTTCATCCTAGTCACTTTCCCAGCATTGGGACACAAACCTGAACTCCATAACTTAAAGGAAGAGAGGTTTATTCACTCACTTTCCAGTGGGTTCAGTCCATGGCTATGGCCAAGATGGAAAAGCATAGCAATAGGATCTAGTGGAGGAAAACTCTTAATGTTGTGGTGGCTAAGATGCAGAGAGAGAAGGGAGGAGCCAAGGACAAGAACGCCCCCTTCCACCATCATGCCTATCCATGGTGTCATCTTTAGCCTCCCAATCACTATAGTCAGTAACACCATCCCTTCCCTTGCTCACCATAATCACTGTGACTACCTTCATCATCATCATCATCATTGTGTCCTTATCAGGCTTCTCATTACCATCATCACTATACTAGTCACTTTCCCAGTGCTGGGACAAAATATCAAACATCCACAACTTAAAGGAGAAGTTTATTGACTAACGGGTTCAGGGGGTTTAGTTCATGCCTCCAAGGGTTAGGGATTCCGCAAAAGAACACTGCTCACATCACAGCAGCCAGGAGGCACAGAGGAAGGGAAGAACCAGGATAAGAATGCACCCTTTTGGGTCATTTTCTCAGTGTTCCTGCTTCCTCCAGCCAGGGCCCAATGCTGCCTAAAAGCACATTCAGCCATGTGCTCATGCACTGATAAGTATAGCACCTCATGATCCAGTGACCTTCAAATAACCTCACCTCTGAACATGTGAGACTGGGGTGGGGGTATTCTAAACATAAACCATAATACCCCCTCTTCTGCCTTTTTGGTGCCTTCAGGGCAGACATTGACCTGTGTGTCTATAACCTCCATCTCAAAGACCTGCAGTGCCTGGATACGGCCCTGAGGCAGGAGCAGCACATGGTAGGTGGGGAATGCGGCTCTGTCTCCCTGTGCTGGAGTCAGGAAGTGGGAAGCCAGGGGTCAGTAACCAGAAGCAGTCTGGGGAAGGGCATGTGATGTCAGGCCTTGGAGCATAGCACCAAAGAGCAGGTGGGGCCTACAGATGGGGCCTGGCCTCACTTTAACCAGAGTTGGGGCTCAGCAGAACACTGGATGATGCTCTCAACCAGAGACCAGAGGCGAGCTGTTCCAGAGAACAGAAGTGTCAACAGTGCTGACCATACTGCTGGGCACTCGGGCATTGAGTGGCTGCTGTGTGCAAGGCCCTAGGGGGATCACACAGGCCATCACATAACCTCACTGCAGGCCAGAGAGGCAGGAGCCATCATTAGTGGGGGAAACTGAGGCACAGAGAGGAGGACTTGCACAAAGTCAGAAGGCTGCAGATGGGGTGCTAAGGGGGAGGCTCAGCCATTGTAGCCAGTGTGAGTAATGAGGACACAGCGTGGACATCAGGAGACAAGGATTACGGTGCTGACCTGAGTGAAGCCGCCAGGGTCTGAGCAACAAGAAGCCAGGGAGAGGCCCTGAGGAGCAAGGCGTCCTCCCGGGTGTATTCCCTGCATTACTGGAGGAGGAAGGGGTCCTCCAGAGGTCAGGGAGGGGACACATCCGGTGAGGAAGAGGAAAGGGGAGCTAGGGAGGACGCAGGGTCCTCATCCGCCTCAGTCACCAGGTCTGGCAGTGTGCAGCTCCTGGCTCTGCCCCAAAATCAAAATGACCATGACAGGGAAGTGTTTTGAGCTGATTTGGGACATCAGGACAGTCACAACAGCTCAGCTGGAGACACTCACAGAACAGGACTGCAGAGCTGCTGCAGAAAGTGACAGGCAGGAGATGAGTGTGTTTGAAGTGATGGGAGGATTCCAGGCAGTGTGTCTTTATAATTTCTTTGTACTTTAAACACTCACCATGTTTTTCAATCAGAGCTTGTGTAGGAGGAGAGAGAGAGAGGGAGAGAGGGCAAGAGCTACTGTTGTTTAAGCCTTTCTCTGCCTAACTTTCCCTTTTCACCAACAGATGTTTATTCAGATTTTTAAAATATGCCTCCTGGACCTTCTTCCTAAGAGAAAGTCAGATGACGAACTGCACCAAAAGATCCTTTCAAAGCAAGAACGCGTAAGTCATTGCCCTATATTGCAGGGGAACCTAAAAAATAGTCATTATACATAGAATACCTGTGATACCACGATGCAGAAGTATTTTTGCTTTTGTGTATAGAAATAGTTCATTACAGTATGGATTTTACACATGATATAATGGTATGTAAAGGCATGTATACAAATGCAGAAAGAAGGATGTGTAATATTGAAAAGGTGTAAGAATATTCAAAGCAGACAAAAGAGACAAACGTTTGTCATAGCCACTGTGGAAAGACAGCCTCATAAACGTTATTTTTGCATAAGCCTGGGATATTTGAAGGATCAAATATGTTTATTGATTATAACTGATGCTACTACTTTGCATTCTGCTCTCCCTGGTCTTTAAAACATGTATTGTTTCCTGCAACCCAAACAGGGCTCGGTGTCAGCCCTGGTGCGGTTGGAATCCTGGCTCCGTCTTTTTGCTGATATATGTTTGCAGTGCCTGATCATCCTGTTCTTGGGGAGAACTGGGACATCTGTGCCTCTTAATCATCTTTATTCCCCCCGCCACCACACGCACTCCCAGCTGCCCTGGCCCCCAATCTCAGATGCCCTGCTCATCTCCACAGAGTCTACCTCCGACTTCCTACCGTATCTCTCTTATTTGCTCTTTAAATTATTTGTACCTTGGTTTCTTGTATAAGAGAAGCCATGCCCTGTTTAACCTGCATCTGATTTCTTTCACTTAGCACCAGGGCCTTAAGAGCCATCCGTGTTTCTACAGATGACTCAAATATATCATTCTCCATGACTCGTTAGGACTCCATTGTGTGTGTTTCCACCACATTTTCTGCATATAGATAAGCTGCTTCCAAAAGTTAGCTGTGGTAAATTGTCCTGCTGTCAACATGGGGATCCATGTCTTTTATAAGCTCTCAAGATCCTAGTGATAAATTATAATCTGTAATAGCTGCCACCACCCTTGTCACCAGTGTCACCACCATAGTCCCACCACTGTAACCATCATCATCATCACTGTCTTTATCATCCTGTGTTACCCCATGACCACCATCTTCACTGTCATTGTGTGGTTAGCAGGCTTCTCATGACCATCATCATGGATCACACTGTCCCATCTCTGGGACAGAATACCAGAACCCCACAATTTAAAGGACAGGTTATTGGCTCATGGGTTCCGAGGGCCTAGTCCAGTCAGCTGGTTCAAAGGCAGAAACAGCATGATGAAAGAGTCTGGCAGAAGAAAGCCACTCAGCTGAAGTCAGCCAGGAATCAGGGAGAAGAGGAAGCCAGAGAGCGAAGGAAGAATCGGGGGATGAGAATCCTCCAGCCAGGCCCCGGTCCTCACGAACATTCAGCTGGGAACTCATCAATGCATTAATCCACAAATGAATGTAGCACCCTCATAACCAGTCACCTCCCATAGCCCCATCTCTGGTCCCAGGAGACTCTCAGGGACATTTGAGATCTAAAGCATAGCAACAACCCCAGGCATCTTCATCCCGACCTCCATCATCCTCATCAGTCTCCTCAGCCCCACCACTGCCCTCATTCATCAGCGTCATGGCCACGGCTACCCTCATAACCGGCATCTGTGTCACTCCTATGACTGCTGCCACTGCCCTCAGCCTCATCAGCAGCAGCACGGCCACAACTGTCTTTCTTGCTCTCGCCACTGTGACCCTGGAGGTTGGTAGAAGTTTCTTCACTGAAACCAGGGCTTCCCATGGGGAGGACCCCTCGCTCCGTCTCAGGGAGCACATCATCCTCTCCATCTTCAGCTCTACAGTCCTCATCAGGCAACGTACAGCGCCGTGTGCTTGATTTCATTTCCATGACGGCCCCATGAGCAGCCATTGTGATTTTTTACCCAACAGCAAAGGAAACTGATGCTAGCGGGCTTAGGTGATTTTCCAGGGGTGACAATAATGATAATGTTGGTGGCATTTGCAGTAACACTAGTGATGATGAAATGGTGCTGCAGGCTTCATGCCAGGAATAGATTCGGAGTCAAATCTTAATCCCACCTCTACCACCACGTCCAGAGCTTTTTGCCTTGCAGAGCTATTTGATATTGGACTCAGCTACTAAGCTCCATTCCAAGTTCTCCATCCCCTTTTTATATTTTGAGACAGGATCTCACTAAGGTTAAGATCAACTTTGCAATCCTCCTGTCTCAGCCTCCTGAATCACAGATTTGCTGGGGTCACAGGTTGGCACAAGTGACTTGAATGTAACATTGGCTACTGCTTTTGAGACAGTCTAACCAAGTATACTAAGTGCAAAAGTTCATTTAATGCCCTCAACATTCTTTGAACATCTATGAAAAAAAAACAAGAAGTAATGCAAAATATCAGCTGCCTTAAAAAGGGAAACAGCATGATGAGAGGGAGTAACATGATGCCTCTTCCTGCCTGGAAGTCTTAGAACACAGTGTCTGGACTTCTGTTTGTCTTGTTCTCATCAGGAAAAGGCATCCTTTGTGTCTTGTAGAGCTATTGAACTGAAAACACATACTCTCATTGTAGGTTATCAGTAGCAGGTTTTATCTGCTATTTTTCCCAATACAGCTGAGCCCACACCTGCACAGGTTATGAGACTTTGACCACAGCTCTGGAGAAGAGATACCTGCCTCCTGCATGTTGGGTTTGAGGAACTGTATAGGGCTCCTGTGTTTCTTCCCATGTTAATGTCCATTGAGAGACAGAGTCAGACAGAGAAATGTAGCTTTATGACTGAGAGCAGTAGCTTGGAGCATGTGGTTTAAGGCACAGCAATTATGGAGGCCTTTCTCATGCCAAATTTCAGAATTAGCTCAGCTTCCTGCCTCATCTGCTGTAAAACTGGGCCCCTTAGCCTTCTGCCCTCGGAAGCAGGGCCTTTGCTACCATGCTCACTCTGGGCTGGACCACACCAAAACAGTGAGCTCCCCTAACTGGTGCAACCCCAAAACAAAGCGGAAGTTAAGCCATTGTGCTTACTTTCTGTTCTTGAACCCATCCATAATGTGTACACATCATTCCCCCCACCCAAGTGTAGCACATAATCTTTCCTCACAGAAACTAGGTGAGAAGGGAAGAAATTTTCCCTCTTTAACCCTAACCCCATAGATGTCATGACATTTTCCAGGACTTTACGATGATTGAAAGATGTGATTTCATTGCTTTTTAAATATATCCTAGTCTTTTTGAGAAGGAAATATAGAAGGAAATAATTTGCTAAGTTTCTGTGTTTAATGAAGAAAGAAAATTTCAATCAGTCAAACCTTAAGCAGGGCAACTCCTAGAGCATTTAATTATTATTAAGAAAAATTTGCTGATAATGTGGGAGCAATGAAAAGATTTGTTTTTCTAGAATTTAAAATATGGATTTTATCTTTATTTGACTCTGCTCCCCATCCCCAGGATTTGGAGGAATTAGAGAAGGGACTTCAGGTCAAATTGGCGAACGTGGAAATGCTGGGTACCAGTGACTCCGGGTACATCACCCTGGCAGACGTGGAGAGGAAGGAGAGAGAATACTCAGAGCAGCTTCTGGACCACGTATGCAACACCCTTTCTGTCCCCTAACACGACCTTGGCTCCTGGCCCCTGACATGAGCAAGATTAAAGAGACAGAGCTTTGGAGCAGGTTGAATGCTTGGATTCCCTGTTGCCTTCCGCCCAGAGGCCAGGCTTCAGCTTCTGTAGTTAATCCACAGACGAGGCGTAATGAGGGAGCAAAGATTTACAGAGCCAGAGCTTTTTCTTTTCATTTAAATTTTAGATTGATCTTTTTATCATTTAAAGCAAAGATTTCCATGACCCTCAAGGTCATTACTGCCTCATGGGGTAAAGGAGATGTGAGCAGCTCACTTCTGAAACCCAAAGCATTATAGAAAGCAGGTTTTAAGTTCCAGAGAGGACGGCTCCTTTGCGACCTCCTTTTTCAGGGGAACTCACTTTCCCCAGTCATATACTATGTATTAAACAGGTGTTTTCTGGGCACACGCTCCTGGCCATTCACTCTGTTGGGGACAGGGGAGTCAGCATTCATTGTTTAGAACTAGCCCTGTGCTGGGGGTGTCAGGGGAGACCCTTTGCAAGCAGCTGAGGATGCCTGGCTGCAGCTGTGGTGACAGAAGGACACACAGGAAAGGACTGAGGCACAGTGGAGGAGGATCACTTTGCTCCAAGGCTTAGGGGGTCTCCACTGAGAAGGGATTCCCCCAAGGGGCCAGACCATGGAAGTGGGATGCTGGCCAGTGGGTCAAAGACGGGAGCCAGGAAGGGTGGCAGGCAGGGAGAGCACGAGAAAGCCAGAGAGATCCAGCCAGGAGTTCTCTCCTCACAGCGGCAAGGTGGGAGTCCCGGAAGGTTGAAGCGGGGGTGACTCCGTCCAGCTTCCATGTCAGAGGGAACTGGCTCTGGGAGGATTAAGTGCTGCTGGGTGAGGCCAGCGGGAACTTTAGGAAGGCAGCTGCAGCAGGGATGGAGAGATGGGAGGAGTCTGAGAGCAGACGTGCTGCCGTGTCATGGGGCAGCAAGCAGGGCAGAGAAGGTCAGTGCTGTGAGCAAAGGATTCAGCTGGGAGAGAGCGGGGAAGTCCGGCAGGGATGGCTTGCGGGAGAAGCCTGCGGAAGCCAGGGAAAGGGACACGGAGCAAAGGATGTCCCTGGAACTGGGAGCCCAGAGGAGAAGGCTGAGGGGCGGGCTTAGCCTGCATTCATGTGGCCTGTGACATCGCAGCATTGTGTGGGCTTCTGTATTTTATGAGCCTCTCAGTGGGCTCTGGCCTCAGAGCCTGGCCCCAAATCTTGCGTCTCACCAGGGGGTCTGAGGAGGCCTCGAGGAGGACTGAGACAGGAGGCAGAGAAGGAACTGCTTGGGGCTTGTAGGGGCCAGAAGAAAGCGCCATCCCTGATGTGAAGGGAGCCGTGCGTTTCAGGAGGAGGGGTGGCAGCCCAGCCTCCTGGGGCTGGAAGGAGGAGGCAGCGCTGGATGTACGTGGAGCTGTGGGTCTGGGTGTGCAGAGAGCTTGTGTTCTCTTGCACAAGTCAGGAAGTAACTAGGCTGTCGGGATGCAGGATGAGAGCAGGGAGAGAGGATGAGGGTGCCAGAGCACTGTGGTCTGTCCTGAGGGGACGGAATGAGGGGCTGGACAGTGGCAGTCAGGTGTCCGGGGCTGTGGTGAGGCCCCCAAGTAGGCACTGCCCATTCACACAGGCACCACTCTGTCCTGGCAGGGCTACAGAGATTTGCATGTTGTAACGTTTGGTCACAGAAACAAGGTCAGCATGACTTTCTGGTACAAGCAACTCGTGCCCCTCCCATGCCCGTCTAGCATAAAGGTTAGTAGTGTTATCTGAGAGCCCACGCAAAGATGGAGAAAATCTGGGCCAGGGACTTGAGTGTACCTGAGGCAAATCCTTATCCTTCCCATCCCTGAGACTAAATACTCAGCTCAGCATCACAGTCCCTGGTTGGCTACTCCAAGGCAGGAGAGCCCAGCACAGGGGACTGGGGAAGGTGAGCAGCTCACTGCATGGAGCGCAAGAAGGTGAGAAAAAGGAGGGGTCAGGAGAGGAACCCGCCCAGGCCCCGCCCTGGGACCGCCTCTTCCCCGCAGGCTCCACCCACGGGACCGCCCCTTATTACCAGGCCCCACCTCCTCACTCTCAGCTCAACAGTAGATTCATCCCGGCTGAGTACAGGGCCCTGTGATCCATCGCACTCCGAAACCCTGCCTCCAAGTCTTCGGGCTCATTCCACATCTAACCCACAACATCCTGCCTCTCACTGTCCCCAGCTCTGTGACTACAAGGGACCTAACTGCTGACCCCCTCCCATGTCCTACATTTTATCTGGACACGAGCCTTTGGGCACAGATTGGGAGCAGTTGTCCACCTTCCTGGTGACACTGTTCCACTGGTTCCCAGAGGCTGCAGTGTCACACATTAAAGCCCCCACAGCCTAAGTCTCATGCTGATCTCCTGGGGAGAGAAAGTACTTTCACTCTCAGCATCATCTCTGCCATTTCCTTTGCACTTTCAAGACAGTAATTACCATTAAACAGCCACTGATGCTTCTGTTTTCCAGGCCTGATTTAATCCCTCGTGAGGAACCCAAAGCGTCCAGCACAGTGCCATACTCCACCTGCCCCCAAGTGGTAGTAATCAAGGTCTGTTTAAGGGCTCTCAAACCAGGATGAGCGCGTAGATTTCCTTCCGGAGCAGTGGGGCACTGCTGCTTGCTGAAAATGTCTACACTAAGTACTGCTGAGCTATAAGTTTGGCTCAGCAGCACAAGCACCCGCCTGGCAAGTGTGAGGTCCTGAGTTCAAACCCTGGTACCAAAAAAATAAAGATTAAAAAAAAAACAAACTGCTGCCTGTGGTGGCCAAGGAGCAAACACCCTCTCTGTAGAATGCAACTGTAGCCAAAATATACTCCCCAGTCCTGTAGGAGGCTTAGGGTCTCTGTTTGTGCTCAGGAAAGAATTGTGACTCCCAGTCACAAGCCGCATCACTTTCGTAAAGAAGTTTTCTCCTCTCTCGTTCATTTCACAGCTGGAAGCTTTCTGGAAACAGATAGGAAACATCCAGAACTTGCTTGTAGATCAGTTTAAATGCTCCAGCGCCAAGGCACAGCAGCTCACCATGACGCTGACGGACAGGATGATTACGGTCGAGGGGCTCTTGCGCCAATCCCAGGATCTGCAGACTCTGGTACTGCTGGAGGGGCGGGTGGAGACACCTGGGCTAGAGGAGAGGCGGCCAAGGCCTGAAGCATTGTGGAGGTCATTAAGTCACTCAGCTTCCTGTGGAGGATGAGCAGTGAATCCACCACCCATCCATCTACCCACCCACCCAGCATTATTAGTGGATGATGAGGCTGAGCAGCAGGATGACAACCACTTTAGATGGAGGAGCCATGTCACCTACTCTTGTCCCGAGACCTCACCCCCATGGGATCTGGAGAGGAGGCCCTGGTATGAGGATTCTAGGGAACATCAAGGAATGCCAGCAGCTGGTATAGAGGGATCCAGGAACCCAGCCTCTTAGAGCTGTTGATGCCAAACACATCATGAACCTCCCTGAGGTGGTTCCCTGTTTACAAAATCCTGGTACTATGATTTGCCACAGGCAGGGCCTAAGGGGCTCCTAAGACCCTTGTCACCATCAGGAGTCCTGTGTGTAAAAGGCTTGTGCAGCATGCCCTGCCATGTCACTCTGCACCCACGTGGTACTCAGGACCCTAGGTAGCACCCACCCTCAGCACGGAGACTTATCTCTGAGCTGCAGGGAAGCCAGGCCCAGTGAGCACTCAGGTGTGGCCTGCTGATAGACTCGGGGTCCTCACCACCTGGAGTCTGGTTAGAAATGCAGTCACACCTGCCACCTTTCTGTTCAGGACTGCCAACACACGGGAGCATGGGGCCCTCACACAGTGTTTGTTTCTGGTACTGAGGATTGCACCCAGCGTCTTCGCGCAGAGCTGCCCCCCAGCCCTTTTTATTTCTTATTTTGAAAAGGTCTCAGAGTCACTAAGCTACTCAGGCTGGGCTCAAACCTGTGACTTCCCTGAAGACAGCTGGCCCGGGTGACTCATCCTCCAGATTTACCTTGTCTGTGTGTCGGGTGCCACCTCTGGGTGTTGGCCACCAAGCCTGGTGGCCCTGCCCCTGGCACGCAGCCCTGACACGGTGCCCTGAGGATCCCGCCAGGCCCTTTGCACCTCTCTCCACGCCCAGTTCCAAGACCCCTAAGCCCAGAGACGGCACCATTGCCCAGTTCTGCGGCTCTGCAGGTCGCAGCATCCTGCCGGCCGCTCCAGGTGCTGCATCCTCCGCCTGCCTTCCGCATCTGCGCAGCGTGGTCCTCGTGCGCCCTCTAGCGGCCTCTTTGGGAGCACCGCCGGCTCTGCATGCTCCCAGAATTACCAGCAAATCAATTAATTAGCAAGTCTCTGGCTGGAGAGTTTACAGTGCCTCTGGTCTGCCCTGGCCTGACCCCCCCCCCCCAACCCACACACACCAGCTCCTCAGCGTTGGGAGCACAGGGGCCCTGGAGCGCAGAGATGGGCCAGGAAGTGGAAGGTCAGGGAAGGACCACAGAAGCCATGAGGAGAAGTAGGGCTCACAGCCAGGAGCCCAGGGTTGCAAGGGCCCCCCACAGCTCAGAGCCCAGCACGGCCAAAGGCCGGAGCAGGGAGGGGGAGTAGAAGGGATCAAAGGGCCTTGCGTGCCATACCCAGGAGTCTGGACTTGATCTGGAGGGTGTGGGGCCAGCGGGTGACAGAGCCCCCTCAGTGTCTCCCAGAGTCAGAGGTGGGAGTGGGGGCGGGGGAGCAGGAAGTGCTTTCCTTTAACTCCAGGGTGTCACTCCACATGCCCTGTTCCACTCTGAAGCACCAAAGCCCCAGGACGCGGCCTCCCCAAGCCTGCAGGGCCAAGAACTGTGTGGCTCTCACTGCTGTGCTTGCATTTCTTGCCCAGGGCCCCGGGACACAGCCAGGCCAGCAGCACAGGGAGGGGAACCTTGGGGAAACCTGTGGGAATAAGGTTTCCTCTTCCGTCCTGTGTGCACATTGGGCTCCTGCCCAAAAGGATGACCCCAGGGACACCCACAGGACCTCAGCACCTTGACATGGGCATGTGTCTCCCACAGGACACCCTGGAGAGGACACTGGGCAGGGTGCACATGGCCAAGCTGATCGAGTCCCTGAGGATGCAGATCCAGGAGGAGACCAAGTGCCGCCTGGCCGCCATGTCCTGTAGCCTGGACCTGCTCACCATACGGGGGACGCTGTCTGGGCGACAGAAGGAGGACCTGCTGGCCCAGCAGCACAAGGCCTTCTGGGAGGAGGCAGAGCACTTTGGCTGGGGTGAGCAAGTGGTGTGATCCTCGTGGAGGAGCAGGTATGGAGGACCAGGACAGTGTGGCCCATGTCACTGAGCATGGGCTGTGACCTCCAGCCGCCTGCTTTCTCTGAGCCTGGTGTCCCTCTCTGTAGAGCAAAGCTAGGGCCAGGGCCACCACCTGGAACTCAGGACAGAAGAGGTGGAGGGTCCCAGTCAGACACAGGCACAGCAGTGCCCAGAAGTGAGAGGGAGACGTGTGCTCCTCCCAGCTTCTGGGAGCAAGGGAGTTGGACAGCGTGGAGAGAAGGCTGCACTGTGTGGCTGAGCTGCAGGTGCTCAAACCCCACTCCTGTCCCCAGGGCCAGACTTGGAGGTGGAGGGGGCAGGGCTCAAGACTTAGGGGACACTGAGGCCTTCATGAAGGTTGCAGAATTAGTGAAATCCACCCAATCTGCAGAATTTGGACTGTCCCTGTTCTGCTCCACTTCCTCCCCCCGTGGTAGGGCACTGCCAGTCGTGCTGGGAAAGTCACCTCCTGTCCTGTGGCCCTTTCACTCCCAGAGTTTGTGCAGCGCAGCAAGGACCTGGTACAGGCATCTTTGGCTCGCCAGACAGAGGGGACAGCCAGGCTCTCACTGGCCCATGAGGAGGAGCGGAGGAGCTTCCTGGCTGATTCTCCACTGACTTCAGACCCGGAAGAGTTCATAAAGGTGACTCTGTCCTCTGGCACACACTGGCTGAGCCAGGTGGGAACTGAGGGCCCCATCACCCAGCACAGCAGGCCTTGGCATCCTCAGACAGGATGTCAGCCCATGATGGGGAATTTACAGAGAGCATGGCAGAGCTTTAGGGTCTTAGTTACTGTTCTCTTGTTGCTGGAACAAAATACCCAACATCCTAAGTTAAAGGAGGAAAGGTTTGTTTAGCTCACCATTTGTTGGGGTTTCAGTCCATAATCAGCTGGTTCCAAGGCATGGTGGCCTGGCTGAGGGACAACAGTTCAAGGCAGCAGAAGACCACAAAAGCAATAAGACCACAAAGAACATAAAATGGGGCGGCAAGCCTCTTTTGTATTGTAAGCAGGCTACCCACCCTAGGGCAGGTGTAGCACTCACACCATCTGCACCCTCCTCTTGCACAGGCTCTGGATGTATACAAAGTAAAGACCCTGGCCCCCTGCTGAGTCTCTTAGCTAAACTTCTAAACTACTCAAGCTGACACAATGAATCAACCATTACAACATCCTAGAATGTAAATAGTCACCCTAGGGCATGTCCTCTACACCCTAAGAAGAAGAACTGCTGAGTTACTTAGTTAAGATTCTAAAGGTCTCAAGTTGACACTATATGTCAGCCATTACCACTGGCCACCAGGACAGCAGCCCTGTGCAGAGGGGTTTTCTGGGCTGGGGGTACCAGCGTGTCCCTTTGTGTAAGGCCAGCTTGTCAGTCCTTGAGAAGGAAGCAGTCCTCAACCTGGCACATGGAGCTGAGCCAGCAGGGCTGGGGAGTGGCCAAGCTAGAAGATGTTCTTGATCTTGTCTCTGAAGGAGACAGGAGACCCATAGGAGGGCAAGGAGCGAGAAGGTAAAGGGGTCAGCTGGTGCCAGCGGGCTATACCTATGCCAATTTTCTCGTTCTTGGAGAGGGAGAGGAGCTCTGTTTCCAGTCTCTTTTCCTCAGAACTAGGAGGAGCTACCCAGCTTCTCACAGCTGGGTGAGAGCTACCTAGCTTCTCACAGGGTCGGCACCAGACCCTGGGGCCACCACAGCTGGCTCTGAGTGCCAGCTCTGTGGCCAGCAAAGCCCTGACACATTGCTGACGGGCTGCGGTCAGAGTACCCAGGGAATGTTTACATTTTGAAAACTCATCCCAGTAAAAGGCATTGCTGTAGGGCCTCCTCAGAGCACCCCTGCTTGCCTGGGACATGCTTATCCTGTCACTTCTTCTGCTTTCTGAAGCAGCTCTGGAGTTCTCTTTTGTGAGTGTCCTTTTGGGGTATAATCAAAAACACAGTGAGCACTGCCACTGCTGTCATCTACTAGAAAGGCAGTGCATAGGAAGGTGACACTGTCCTCGTCCTCCTCATTCACATTGGGCACCTTGTCACTTCTGGCTCTTCCCCAGAGTCAAAATGAACATGGAAGGCGAATGTTTTGAATTCATTCAGGACATCAAGGCAGCCCAGCAGTGTGACTAAGATACAAAAGAGAACTTCAGAGCTGCTTCAGAAAGTGGCAAGATCGAGGGGGTGGGTATGGTCCAAGCACATCCAGGGATGTATTCCCTGTGTTCCAAGCAGGGGGGAGAGCTGGAGGGGGTCCATGGCGAGGCGACTTTCACTGTAATGTTCTTTTAGTTTAAGCATCTGCCACATTTTTTAACCATACTACATATTTCCCCACACCCTACCCTGGCCCTTGGCTTCCTCACCTGTGAAATCGGAATGGTATTTTCTGTGTCACAGTGTTGTTAGGACACTAGGACCCAGGAAGGGGCCACTCTGGCCTCGTGTGGCTCTCCTGGCCCCTTGTAACCCTTTGGGACAGTGCCTCCCAATTGTGTCCCATTCTGGCCGAATAGTGTGGCATAGAGTAGGGGTGCGGGTGGCAGCACCCCAGGGAGAGACCACAGAGGCCCCCCAGAGCTGAGTAGAGGCTTAGCCCCACCCCAGCTGCCCATGGCCACTCAGAGTCCTGGGCGCTGAGCTGCCATGGAGCAGGGGTCCTGGAGGACTGTGGGAGAAGCCCTTGATACAGGACAAGGAGCATGCAATGGTGTGGCTCTTTGTTCCACCAGCTCCTCAATGTTTTTCAGCTGAGCCTCAGAGGAAAGAGAATGGCCAATAGCCCTGTGTCCCAGGGCCTGGCACAAGCCCAACACACAGCCAGTACCCCGGAGACTGGAACGAAGCAGGAGGGGGTGAATGAATGCATGGGTGGAACAAAGGAACAGATGCATGAGTGGATGGGTGCATGGACAGATGGGTGGGGGCCGACTGGACAGGCAGATGGGTGGATGGATGGATGAGTGAATGGATAGACAGATGTGTGGATGGATGGATGGGTGGATGGATGGGTAGATGGATGAGTGGATGGATGCATGATGAATGGGTAGATGGCAAACACATAAAGAAGTGAATGGAGGACACCAAACTACAGTGCCCTTCTTCGCTCCATTGGTCCCTGTCCCTCCCCCCTCATCTCCACTATACACCACCCCAGGCTGAAATGCACACCACTCTTCCTTGAACCTGAGTCACCTAGGGTCCTTTGGTCCCCCCATAGGAGCCCCTGCATCCTCAAAGACCAGCCTGATGTCCCACATGGCGTCTCCTCTGCAGGCCTTTGCTGTGCGGGATCCACTCCCCTCCCCACACCCACTGTGCCCCCTGACCATGCTAGGGCCCCTGCACCACCTCCCTGGCCCTCCCTGCCCACCCTGACCTCTAGTTGTCACCCTTCTGGGCTCCCAGGGTTCCCCCTCTGCCTGGGTGTGATTCCCCAGTGGAGCAGGAGATTGGCATCTGGTACCTGGGGACCAGGACAAGGGTGATGGGGTGATCTGGCAGTGCCTTCTCACACTGGGCATAAGAAAAGCATGACCTGTACTTCTCCAGGGGAGCAGGTGTGCTAGGCATGGCCTTGTCTACAGTTTGCAAGTCACAGAAGCACATGACAGTCCCGTGCCTCCCTTTCCTGAGTCTAAATCAAGGTGGACATCCCTCCTACCTGAGCAGCCAAGACAGGTGAGGGAGAATTCCTAGAGAAAGCAAAGCCTGCAGTTCTGTATCAGATTTGGTTCTTGTTTGAACCGCAGGCTCTCCACGAGGTCCTGGAGCGGCAGCAGCTGATGTACAGTGACCTGGAAGAGGAGGAGGACATCAGAGCGACTGAGGCCGCAGCTGCACTCTGCCAGGTGGGTGGCCCTGGCTGGGACAGCAGAGGACCCCAGGAGCCATTGTGTGACAGCCTCACATGCTCTGGTTCTGGAACCCCAGCAGGCTCGGGTCCATCTGCACTCCTAGGCATCTGCACCCCGCCCCCACACATGCAGGAAGTGGGAAGTTGGTCAACTGTGTGACCAGGAGAAAGCATGGGTCACTGCGTGGCTCAGGGCCAGCAGGCAGAGGCAGCATGCAGAACCATGGGCACCTGGTGGGGAGGTGACAAGGGCCTATGGGGACAGCGCCTTGAGGAAGGGTCCAAGTTCTTGGCCCAGAGTCCTGGCTCTTCCCCACCTGGCTATGAGGCCACAAGATCACTCTCCAGTCTCTAGCGCTCAGTGTCCCTGGCTGTGCGATGGGAACAGTGACAGTCCTTGGCAGTGCTGTGAGGACTGAACACCTGGGAGGCCCTGTGGTGGCAGCTGGCACTTGGGACAACCTGGTCCACAGTGGCCATATTTCTGGTATGGGCCCACCAGAGAGTGGGGGGTGCACAGAGGGAAGGCCAAGGACAGCTGTCTGCTAGAAGGGACAGTGAGGAGGCCACTGCAGACAGGAGGAAGAAACCACCCTCACCACGGTCACCAGCATCAGCTGTGCTAATGAGATGCCACAGACTGGGCAGAGGAGCAGGTGCTCACCACCCCACGGAGCTGGGCCTCTCACCCTGTCAGGCTGGGTGTTTTCAGTGAAAAATAACAGAAGAGCAGAGTGTGATTCCCGGGTTTTTCATGTGTCATCTGTGGCACAGTTTCCATAATTCAGAGAAATGCATTTGGAGAAAGACGGCTTGGGGAGCGGGGTAAAGGCCCAGAAGCCTGAGCTCCTGGGGCTGGGAGCAGGGGCCAGGTCAGATGGCCTGGAAGCCCCAGGAGGAACCTTGACTGTGATGGGGATAGTTCTTCCCAGGAGTGTTCAAAGGGAGATTGGGGAAGATCTGAGGTCTCTACAAACAACTCACCTGTGTGTGGAGGACAGAGGGGCAGGCAGGGACAAAGGGGGTACCGGGACTGGACATCATCTAGATGGTGACCCAGGAGGCCTCCAGGGGCTGAGAGGAGGCACCAGAGATGGAGAGCTGGGGGACCAGGGCTGGAGCTTGTCTGGGAGCCGTAGGGGTGCCGGAAGACACAGGTGAATCCCAAGTCTGTGCTTATGTGTCCAGGTCTGTGTGTGTTGGTACGTGTGTGGCCACATGCGCACTCCCCTGTGTCCCCTGTGTCTCAGGGACTGTGCAGAGCGAGGGGTGGAAGGGAGCCTGGCAGGCACAGGGTGGCTCGCTGTGACCTAGTGGGGTTCTTGCCACAGGAGCTGTACCGGAGCACCATGGACACCTTCCAGCGCCTCGAGGACACCTTGTTCCTGCACACGCTCCCAGGTGTCAGTGGCCTCCCCCGGGCAGAGTGCCAGTCCCTGCAGCAAGAGATGCAGGAGGACGCAGCCCGGCAGCTGGGGCACTCGGACCGCTTCCGGAGACGGCAGTGGGGCCTCCTGCAGGAGCTGCTGGAGCAGGACAGGCAGGTGGGCACCTTGAGCCCGGCTGGGCTTAGCGTTTGAGCCCTAGGAGGATTACCAGGGCTTTCTTGTATGTGGCATTCCCAGTGCCTCTGAAAGATGCCATAGAAAGATGTTTGTACATCTTTGTGCCAGAGTCTAGAGATGTGAGTGGCTAAAGAATTTAGCAAGATCCGAATTTTAAAAAAAGGAGTTTATTCAGATCAGACAGTACACACTATCAGGAGGGACAGCAGATGAGTTTGCAAAAGAGGAGTCACACAGTCCGGGTGAGACATCAGGACTTTCCTGAGGCTTTGGGGCCAAGGGTTACCGGTCCCGGTGGCAAGTCTGGGTGTCTCAGGAGCTTTCTCTGGGTTGCCTGGATCCTGCTGATGTCCTGGAAACACCTGCACTATATCTAAAGTTGTGCATTAAAGTTGTAAGCCGAGGGCTGGGATTTAGCTCAGTGGTTCAAGCACCTGCCTGGTAAGCACGAGGTCATGAGTTTGATCCCCGGTACCAAAAGAAAATGAAGTTGTAAGTCGGTGAGGCCATTTATCCTGGTCTCAGAGAAGCCTGTTAGCTTCAGATAAGGAAAGCGATGTCGATGAACCCTGAGGGAGATGGGTCAGGGCTCACAGCCAGGAAGGAGACCTTGTAATCCTAGCATCTGTGCGGTGTCTTGTGACTACCCAGCTCGTGTGGAGAGACCACGTGATTGAGTGTTAACTCTTCGGTCGACACGATGTGATCCACACCTGTTGCCCACCACAGAAGGCAGAAAGAGAGCAGAAGCCTGTCCTCGGTGACAGGGAGCCAGCAGCCAACGCCCTGAGTCCACCCTGAGAGTGGCCTGCAAAGCATATTTTTGAAGTGAAGGAAATAAAGGGAAGGAAGAAGGCATTCGCTGGAGGGGGAGGGGAGGGGCTGCACACTCAGAAAACCTGGAACCTGAACCACAGTCAGTGCGGTGCCCCCCAGGGGTACTTGGCTTGACCCCAGGCACTGAGCATAGGTGAGCCCCCCACCCCAGCAAAAGGGACTTTGCCATCTGAAGTTAAGGATCTCAAGATAGCAAGGTCATGCTGGGTGGTCCAGGCAGCCTGATATCCTCAAAATGGTCCTGCAGGATCAGAGGTCAACCTCTGACCAGGAACCTGAGGATGCTGAGAACTGGATGGGAAAAGGGACAAGGGACAGAACGTCCCCCATGGTCTCCGGAAGGAGCCAGCCCTGCAGTGCCCTGACTATAGCCCATGAAGAGTTATGTCAGACCAACCTCCAGGACAGTAAGGAAATAACCTTGCATGGTTTTAAGCTGCAGGGTTATGGCAGCAATACGAAACTAATAGAATAAAATGTTAAAACCTGTTCACTAAAATCAGCAATTTTCCAGGGAGACGCACACGTGAATTCCCCTCCTCCCTCGCGTTCTGCCCCCTAGAGGCCAAAACTAAGGTGCTTAATATCCAGGGTCCTTTGCAAGTTGCAGCCGACGAGAGAGACAGTTCGGACCTGTGAGCCCCAGTGTGGTCACTGCAGAGGCCCTTGTGCACACAGGGCAAGCGTCCTGCCACTGGGCACCCCCATACTCTCCATAGGGTTTTCAGTCAGTTATAAAAAATACAGCTGCAGCAGCTGAGGTCTAGAACAGAGGTCATCAGCACGGACGTTAGAGCCCTAAAAAGTGTGTAGGAAGTGGACAGATGCCCTGTGCAGCGGGCAGGCACACAGCCTGGGAGCCTGCCAGCCTGAACCATGTCATAGGTAACTGGCCCACCTACTTCCTGCTTCCATCTGGGAGTCCTTTGCAGACAGAAGCCCTGCATGTCCTGTTCCCTCACCCTCGATCAGAGCCCAGGGGCTGGGATGTGGTCAGTGTGCAGGACAACTTGGCTGCATTTCCAGCTATGCCAGTGCAGCTTTGCAAGTGACCACAGGGTCCTTGGACTCTGTTCTGCCAATGGATCTACATGAAGCCAGATTCATACCAAGTCCTAGGTCCCAAAGCAACCGGTTTCCAGTTTGGGAAGTGGGGGACCTGGGCTTTCAAAAACTCACATGCCAGGCATGGTCGTGCATGCCCGTAATCCCAGCATTCAGGAGGCTGAGGCAGAAGGATCACCGTGACTTTGAGGCCAGCCTGGGTTACATAAGTAAGTTTAAGGCCAGCTTGCATATCGAGACCCAGTCTCAAAAAAAAAGAAAGAAATTCACCAGATTGTCGGTGTCGCTCCCGGCCGGCAGGAAAAACACACGACAGATTCTGACGGTGTGCAACCTTGTCTTTATTTGTCTCCGCGTGGGCCCCGCGAGGCCTCTGCTCTGCCACCAGTCCTTTCTTACCGGTGGACTTTCTCTATCTCTCTCTGTGCTTCTCTCTCGTAGCGGGAGAGGCACTCACTTTTATAGGGTAACAGTGGCCAATCAGTTCAAAGTGCGCGATGCGGGCTGATTGGCTAACATCAGTTGTTGCTAGGCAGACTATCTTACAGAGCGGGTTGTTTAAGTCGCCAGGGCAATCAGGGGGCAGGAAGCAGGCGCCAACTTGGCTCACTCGATGGGAGGGGTAATTTAGCTCAGGCTTTGCCTTTTCTACAGGCCTCACGTCCGCCAAGTAAGGCGACCGGGCTCGGCCGCGGCTCCCAACACCAGATGAGCATTGCAAATGCGTGTGTGCACCTTTAGAAGCCGCTGGGGATTGTGAGGGGCCCTCCCCCAGTGCTGGAGCCTCAGGACATGGATTTGAGCTTAAACACGCAGCAGGCCGGTGACTGAGCCACTCAGCTGACCCCTGCAACTCTGTCTCCAAACCCCAGCTCTGTGTAAAACCTGGTGAGCAAAATGCCCAGCAGGCGGCTATGTAATAATCACAAAGCCCATTTCAGTGCTCAGTGATAGTGACCCTAAAACAGAGCTGGAATTTTATTTCTGAAAAAATACCCACTGTCTTAGTTTGTTTTTTTTTTTTTTCCTCGTTGCTGAGACAAAATATCCCACACCCAAATTCAAAGGGGGAAACACAGTTTGTAGAGGTTTTAGTCTATAATCCCAGGCTCGGAGGCAGGGTGGAGGGGCAGAGGGGCATCACAGAGGAGAACAATTCATGACAGGCAGAAGGTAGCAAAGCAGGAAGGAGTGACCACAGCTCTTTCTGTCCTTTCTGTCCTATCCAGCCTACTCAGGGCAGGCTACACTGACACCCTTAGGCCTAGGCCCTTGATCCTAGCATTGCACTGTGAACCAATCCCAGAGTCACACACACTAGACCCAGCCACCTCTGAAAAGCCCCACCTACGACCACGTGAGACTTTCTGGTGACATCTGGACACAGCCACAACACCCACACTTCATCCAAAACTCTGGTTGCATTATCCAGATGGCAGAGTACGTGTGGCTCCTTTTATGTTCTGTGTGTTTACTTGCCGGTGAGTGTGGTATTTGGTTTTCTTGGCTTGAGGGAAGATTCTCAAGGGGAGTTTTGTATTAGAGAAGAATTAATGACCTCATCAACTAATTAAATAAGTACAACCTAAGGCCGATTTCTGGTGCTGCCAATGTAATAATTAATCTATAATTGCTTAATTGCCTTAAATTGGTAAAGATATTTACAGATCCAGATTTTCCTGTGCTTGCTGTATTTCCTTGTTGATTGAAAAAAAAAGGAAAAATCAACTTTCTGTGGTTCAGATGAGTGTTAGGCACGAGAAGAAAAGCAAAACTCTCCATGGTCCCATGAGGCAGTGCTGGGCCATCATTTGTCTCCATGTTATAGTTTTAAAAGGCCTTGGAGATTTCTGAGCCTGTTTTTCCAGGAAGTTATACATTACTGACTGCCTGGAGGCAGCACCAGCACAGGCACTAGGCTATGTCTGTCAGAGGTGACCAGCTCTGGCGTAGGTCTGTCCATCTGGGACCCCAGTAGCCCCAAACCCTCCTCCTACACCCAGGGCCAGGTCAGGTTCAAGGCAGGAAGAACTTGTAGATGTGATGATGCTCTGGAGCATAAGATGGGGACTCCTCTGCTTAGCTGGCCAGACCCCCTGAATCGTGAGGGTCCCTCTAAGCAGAGGGTGCTGGGGTCTGGGTAGTCAGCATGAGGAGGACTCGAGCTGGGCGTGACAGTGGAGAAAGGGACCTGTTATGGCTTAAATGTCCCCCCCAGCCTCGTGCCGTCATGGAGGCAGTGAGTCTAGCATTTGTGATTGGCATGTTGTGTAGCTCTGGGATTGGTGGTATGAGTGCTGTACCTGCCCAGGGGCGGAACCAGCATACCTATAAGGGAGAAAGGAGGCGTGCTTTGTCATCAGGCCACGCCCCCTCGACGCGACTGCTTCTTGCCACCAGGCCCCGCCCCTATCACTATCTTCTTGCCTCTGTATGCTGGAGGTGGGCATCTAGATATAAACTGTGCCGCTGTTGAGGCCACAGAATAACCTAGTGGCAGTGACAGGGTCCACACCCCAGCCCTCTGGGAAACTTGCTGCTTCTGACCTTGGGCTCACAAACCTGTGACTTACCACGGTCTGTTGATTTGTTTGGTTTGTCTTCATGGTACTGGGGATTGAGCTCAGGGCTTTTGCATTGAGCTAATCCCCAGCCCTCTTTACTTTTTATTCTGAGATAAGGTCTGCTAAATTGCTTAGGCTGGGTTTGAATTTACAATCCTCCTGCCTCAGCCTCCCAGAGTGCCAGGATTCTGAGTCTGCACCACCGCACCCAGTTCTGTGTAATCATAGTAAAGGAGTGGAGGTGGCCGCTGCAGGCACCGTCTGTGCTGGTGATCATGGCCTCCCTGGTTGTCCTTGAATTCTCTTGCTACTTTTATCTTCATTATTAACATTTACAGCAAAGGACAACATTAACTCACTGTTTGGGTTTTTTTTTGTTTTTGTTTTTTTGTTTTTTTGCTATTTTGGGGTTGAACCCAGGGCTTTGTACATGCTAGGCAAGGACCTGACCCTGACCCACATCCCAGCCCTTAATTAGCCTTCAAAAGAATCATGGCTGGTACATGCCTGTAACCACAGCGTTCTGGGAAGCTGAGGCAGGAGGAATGCAAATTGGAGCCCAGCCTGGGCAACTTAGTGACTTAACAAGTAGTCAGTGCAAAGGCCCTGGTTTCAATTCCAGTACTTCTCCCCTCCCCCCCCAAAAAGTAAAGTTTTCTAATGTTCTGGTTTCCCAAGGTAAGAGAGTCTTGCCAACTCACAAGAGGGGACGGAGACCATTTTTAGTGGAATGTTCTGGGTAGGGCAATGAAGTTTTAGGGGGACCAAGTGTGAGTGATACCAGGGCATGAGGCCAGGACGGGTGGCTGGGTGCAGGCGGCCCGCATTCCATCCAGACCCGTGCACATCCATGTCCCACATGCAGCCTGCATACCCAAGACCGCTTTGCTGACACAGCCTTGGTGGTAACACTGGCCTGAGTCCGGAGCACATTTCTCTGGGTGACAAGATGGACAGGATGCAGCCTGGTGGAGCTGGAAATCATTTTAAGAGAACCAGGGCAGAAAGAGACTTCATCAAGAGCCAGGAAGCCTGGGGCTGAGCTGCGGCTGGCTGACGCCTGGCAATCCTGTCTGTCTGCGCACAGGTGTGGCTGGAGGAGTGTGCGCTATCTGCGCTGCTGCAGGCCCAGCTGCGGGAGGAGCAGGAGAGCACGGTCCGCGGAGTCCTGGGCCGGCTGGGCGGCCTCACGGAACAGTGAGTGCGGCTCCCCGGGAGCCAGGGCCCAGTGTCTGCGGGACTCGGGGCAGCCTCAGCGTCCTCCCCTGCAAGGGGGGGCACGGGGATCCCGAGCTTGAAGAGAAGGAGGCGCTGACCTGGGCCCCCCGTCCCCACAGGTCCACGCAGAGCGTCCTGCAGGGCCACCGGCTGCTCCTGTACAGTGCCCTCCGCAGGCTGGGCCTCCGCGGCGACGCCCTGGCCGCCCTGGCTCAGATGCGGCTGTCGGGGAAGAAGCGGCCGCTGCAGGAGCTTCGGGAGCAGCATGTGCTGGAGCAGGGCTCCTCGCCCTGCCTGGACGAGCACCAGTGGCAGCTGCTCAAGGCCCTGGTGAGGCTCATACAGTGCCCCTCACCCGGCCCAGGCAGGAAGCATCCTCCTCTGGGCTCCGGTCTGGCTCCACACCCAGCGCTTACACACCTGAGCCTGCCAGGGTAGTGTTTGAGGCTGCTCCCCTGAGAGACTCCGAAACCAGTCCCCCAGGCCAGGGCCTTAAGCAGCTCAGCCTCCTCCTCCTCCCAGCCCCGAGGCCACAGGTCAGTGGCAGAGCCAGGACAGAAGCCCAGGAGCGCAACTGCAGCTCTCTGGATGGAGACCCAGCAGTGAGGCGCACGCCCGCTGCGACCCTCCATTCCTGCCCCTTCCTCCTGCCAGGACAGCAGCTCCAGGGCCCATGTCCTCGACACAGCTTCTGTGATGTCCCCAGCCTATCCCCAGGCTTAGATCCGACCTCTCAACCTGGCTGTGCTGTGTGATTTCTAGAAAGTCACTCAACTTCTCTGAGCCGTCACAAACTCATCCGTCCTAGTGTCCAGGTCTCACCATGCTATAGGAGGAGGACGAGGCCCTGCATTGCGCGAGGGGCCGCAGGTGGTGGCTCTGGGCACACAGTTGGGGGCCAGTAATACTTTTATCTGGGATGAGGGAGGAGATGTGAACAGACACCGGGGCTGCACTGTGCTATGGCTGCCGCCCCCTTCCGAGCCCTCTCCGAGCCCCCGGCCTCGACCCCGATTGCCTTCCCCCGCAGGAGGCGCGCATCCTAGAGGGGACCACCAGGCTGGAGGACGACGCACAGCGCACGCGGATGCAGCTCCAGCAGCAGCTGCTGGCGGAGGCCCGGGACGCCAGGCAGCGGCTGCAGGCGCGCACGGAGCGGGCGGTGGGGCAGGCGCTGCTGGAGCATGCACGGAACGTGGCCACCAGGAGCCGCGCCCAGGACAGGGACGACTTCAAGGTACGCGGTTACCGCAGCCCCTTCCCTGACGTTGCACCTTGCTGGCCAGCGCCAGATCATTCCACCAACACCCCCACCTCCCTTGACTCGGTCCAGACTGGGAGTGAGCAGAAGAGGGGACCCTGGGCATGGGGTGTGGGGGGCACCAAATTGGCCTGTGATCTGCCTGTGTCTTTCTGTCCCTCCCCCCACAGCGGACTCTGGTGGAGACTGCTGCAGAGAGCGTCTACGTGACCCGCGCCACTGTTAGTTGCCTGGCACAGGCGCAAGACCAGCGGCTCAGCAAGGTGGCGCAGGACCACGCAGAGCGGACCCTGGAGCGGCTCAAGGCACTGCACAGTGCGTCCAGGCCCAGGCCACGGGGGCTTGGGGAGCTTGCTGTTCCCACGAAGGCTCGGTGTCTCCTTCAGGGTGTTTTCCAATGGTGCTTTAATCCCATGTAACGTAGTGCAGCAGGGTGAAGACAGCACAGTGGGGTGACTCGGTGCGACCAGGGTCCCCTGGAGGTGATCGATGCTGTCTCTGAGCTTCCTGGCCACCAAATAGATAAAGTCCCTGGGCAAGGGTCACCACAGGGACCACGAGAGGGAACAGGCCAGCAGCCCGTGCGAGGTTCCCCAGACCCTGTCACCTCCCGTGGGCTGGCTTAAGGTCCCTGGGTACGAGTATGTGGTGTCCCCTGTCCGAGAGGAGTCCAAGCAGTGACATGCAGGTCATGCTACACAGAAGCCAGCTTGAAGCCCACTGCTCGCACCCACTTCTCAGCACCCAACCCTCAGGACTGGCCAGGGTCCCACACTTGCGCTCTGGGACCTCCCCTGCCAGCTGCCAATTCCAGCCCCAGCTCCACCCAGGGAGGGCTCTGTGAGGCCCCACGGATTGGAACCTGCTGGGCACCTCGAGCCAGGGAGGCTGGCGCCCCCTGCCAGCGTCCCCTGGAACTGCAGTCTGGGCCGTGGTTACTCCACTAATGCTTAGCAGGAATAGGTGGTTCTCAGCTTGCGATCCCTAGTGGGACAGCCAGGGATAGAGGGGGCGTGATCAGAATGGTCAGCGTGGCCCGAGGGTGTGCGCCAAGCCCGTCCTGTAGCCCCGGACACCTCGTCACTACTTTAAATTTTTTAAAAGCCACGTTTTCTGAGCAGCAGCGTCTACGAATCAAGACAGAGCTCAGGCGCCAAAGGCCTTGGTCAGTTCCGGCCCAACCTGTGCGGTGGGCGCCCGGGCTGCTGCGATGTCCCCCATATGCCGGCTGCCTCGATCGCTGCTTCTCCCTCCTGAGACTGACCCGGCCCGTGGCTGAAGCCTCGGCAGCTGGAACCCCAGGCCCTTCCCTCTGCTGGTGCACCCCCTCCCCGGGACCCTGACAGCCCCCCCCCCAGGGCTGGGAAGAGTCGGTCCGCATGCCACGCCACAGCTGACTGCCCTGTGTTTGATGACCGGCCCAGGTGAGAGGATGGACAGCTACAAGCTGCAAAAAAAGCAAGAATTCAGGGAGCCCTCGTCAGGGAGTCAGGCAGCCGGCGGTGCCCCCCAGGGCATCCCCCAGAGGTGAGGTCATGCTTCGGGCTATGGGGTCCCCGCAGAGGTTCTCTCTCACCCCACTCTGTCCTGTGCATCTCCCCTGTGCTTCAGCAGGTGACCTTGCCTGAGCCCCTCCTTCCCTGGGGCCCCATCCATGCCAGCCACACACAGCACTAAGAGCTGACAGGGCCACTCTGCTCCGGGTGGCAGTGGTGCCGGCTCCCGTGAGGCCTCCAGGGGCTCAGGCACCTCTAAGGGTCACACAGTTCCTGAGCTCAGCTGGCCCTTGTGACTTGAGGACACAGTGACCTGGGGCTCGGGCAGTGCTGACCACCTGTCCTTCGCCCAGGGTTCTGTCCCAGCAGAGGAGGTTCCGGGCCCAGTTCACAGCGCACCAGCAGTTCCGCCTGGATACACAGAGGCAGAAGGCTGAGGCGCTAGACCGGCTGGAGGCCCAGCTGGAGGCCCAGTTGCAGGTAGGGCCTATCTGGGGACAGAGGGGCAGTGTGACAAGGAGCAGAAGCGGCAGAGCCTGCAGGGGCTGCTGGGAGGGACCTGTGACCTCGCCACAGACCCCAGCCTCTGCACTTGCGGGTGTTTGTGTGGCTTGTGACCCACTGGGTCCCCCTGGCCAGTGCTGCAGGTGGGTCTCAGGGCTGCAGCCTCTGTGCTGATCGCCACCATCTGCACCACGGGCCTGGTGGCAACCAAAATGTCACTTTACGTGAGCCCTCAGGAAGCTCAGTCCTTGGGATGTAAAATCCCATCCACGAGACAGGGTCAGATGTGGCCGCAACAACAAATCCCCACCTTAAAAATCTTCCAGAAGGAAGCACATGACAGAGTTTGGGCCCCTTCAGTGTCACCCAGACAGGGCAGCCTTCAGTGACCCCTTCAGTGTCACCCAGACAGGGGCAGTGGCCACCATAAGAATGCCACTGCGCATTGTGGGCAGCTGTTTACCGGGTTCCATGAAGGACAGTCGCCGAGCCGACTCCTGCCATGTTCTGCCTCGCAAAGGAAACAGTTGCTACTGTTGCCCTGATGACAGAGGGGAAACTGAGGTCGGGGACATGCAGCTCGAGAGTCCATCTGCTTGCGTCATGGCGTGAGCAGCGGAAGTCAGGGCTCTGGGCCCCAGGCCCTGTCTGCCCCACACTGGGCAGCAGCGGGCAGGGAGGGTGCGGCTGCCGGATGGGAGCCCCTCTGTGGTGCTCCAGCCTCTGCAGACCCCCTGGGAAAGGTCCCCCTCACACGGGAGCAGCCCCCACAGGCTCGGGCTCTGTCCTGCCCTAGGGGCCTGTGCAGGGGCTGCAGCTGCTGCTCTGTTTGCCCACCAGGAAGCCGAGCAGACCTTGGTCACTGAGCTGGCAGCACTGGCCCGAGTGCCCCTTGGTGACCACAAGCCATCCTCCAGCAAGCTCGGGCAGCCGGGTGAGTTGTGTGCTTGGTGGGCAGGGAGATAGGGCCCTGGTCCTTCTGCCAACCGGCTGTGTGGCCTCAGGAGTCAGGTGAGACGTGAGCAAAATATGCGGTGAATGTTCGACTTTTATTTGTTACAGTCAGAGACACTGCCATGTGAGTTCCATCCCCAGTACCCCCAAAAAAAGACACTGCCACAAATCAGCCCAGAGTCCTTCCTCTCTTTAATCACACTGTTCCCGTTGTCCCTGACCCTTCCTGAAGCAGCTCTGAAAGTTCTCCTCTAGAGGGTCTTAAAGATGTGCCATCACGCTGCCTCCAGGGCCTGAATTAGTTAAAAACGTTCAGCTCTCATGGTCATTTGGACTTTGATTTAAGAAGCAGCCTCATTGTCCACTGACAGACAGATGGCTAAAGAAATGGGGTTCACACCCCGTGGAGCACTACTTGGCCATAAAGAAGGCCGGGCTCGCAGCATCTGAGGGAGATGGCGCCCTGAGACGGAAGCGTTCAGTAGGACAAGTCAGACACTCAGCTTGGATGCAGCACGGTTTCTCTTGCAGGAGAAACCCAAAGAATAAATAAAATTAAAGAGCAAAATAAAACATGACAGAAAATGGGGGCAGTTTTTTCATAGAGAAAGGATGGAGAGATGGGGGAGGGAGAGGCGGAGGGAGGAGAGCAGCTTTGAACAGAGTTGAGATGGGCTGTGTGCGTGGACCTGCTGCCCACTGTGCCCTGACCCTTGGGGACTGCAGACACCTACTAATAAAATTAAACGCAGAGGGAGTCTGACAGGTGGGTTCCACCCTGCTCTGCCCCTCACCCATGCTGGCTCAGAAGGAGCTTGGCTTTCCTTCCTGGGCCTCAGTTTCCCTATTGGTGAAGTGAGTCTCAGGCCCACGGAAGGACCTTGAATCCTGTCTCCTGCAGAGAAGCTGCCGAGGACCAAAAGGAAGAAGCCCCTGTCCCGGGAGAGAGGAGACCCAGGGTCACCTAGCGATGAGCACCCCACCTCCGGATCGCCCAGGTACCAGGGTCCCCAGCTCATCACCCAGTGCCCGTTCCCTCCGGGTGGGTGCGGGGTCGAGCAGGGAGATCCTTGGGCTGGGGGAGAGGTGTCACCCCCACACCCCGCTTCTCTGATGCCACCGGTTGCAGTAGGTGGCTGAGCCTAGCACCTGCACGAGGTCCTTGCTCTTGGCCAGATGCTCCCACTTCCTGGAGAGGGAGGCTGGGTTTATCTGCCCAGGTCTCCCCAGCTGCCTTTTGTACCCTCATTTTAAGCAGCAAAAGACTGAGTCAGCAGGAAAGCGACGCAGGTGACGGTGACGGCTCTGGGAAGATGCTGAAGAAAAGAAGCCTTCCGTAGCTCCGGGTGAGGGCCCGGGACCAGACCTGAGGCGCTGGGACCCGGTCCACACACAGCGCAGCCCCACCCAGCCACCATGACAGCAGGCCTTTGCGAGGGGCCTGGAGAGGGGCCTGGAGGTGCCCTGGAGAGCAGCATGGGGACAGTGGTCCTAGGGCGGGGACAGTCAGGAGCCACTTTTGGGTGGGAAAGGCTTGATCTCTGCCTCTCATTCTCCGTGGGCCCTGGCATGCTTCCTCTTGATCCCCCCTTTCTCCAGAGGGTCCCCTCCCATCCCTAGTCCTTTGTCCCCGCTGTCCCCTGAGCCCCTGCCGTGGAACCTGTCCTGTCCTGTCCTGTGCTGTGGTGCTGTCACAGCCTGGCGCCCTCTCTCCTCCACCCCACAGGGTCTCGGCCTCCCTGGCACTTCCTGGACCCCAGACCAACATCCCTGCCCCCTCTATTCCTGAGTCACCCCCATCCTACCCCACACCCTGGCCATGGGCCGCCCCAGTCTCCCCACCAGCAACAGTGCGTGGCTCAGCCAGCACGAGACCCCGTCACCCAAGAGGTGTTCACAGAGTCCAATTCCTGTGCCCCGAAGCAGGGCTCCTCCATGGGGGCCTCAAGGACAGGACAGAGCCTACACCCAGCCAACAGCCCCTGGTGGAGCAGGTGGAGCCCTGGTACCAAGCAGCAGCCTGTGCCCTGTGGAGAGGAGTCCCTGTGTCACCTGTGTCACCCCACAGGTGGTGAGGACATTGGATGGCACCCAGGCCAGCCACACATTCACCAGCCAGGGAGGCCTAACCCACCGTGCCCCAAGCCCCAGACAGAACAGGGGTCCTTCAGTGACCCCAGGACCCACAGTGCCGACACTGGGGTGAGAGGACTCCTGGCTTGGGGTCACTCAAGTCAGGCCCCAGTGGAAGTGGGGCCTCAAGGCCTTGGGAGTTGGTGCTGGGATGCCTGATGTGGGGACCCCAGCCACAGCTCTGTGGGCACAGAGGACACCTCCCTGGCGACAGTGTCCCCAGGGCCTCGATGACTGAGGGTCTTTAAACTGGCACACAGGACCCTGTGCTTTCCCCCTGTGGAGGCCTCCCTGAAGCCTGGCCCCCCTTGGTCCGCCTGTGACCCTCTCAGCTCCTCCTTGCTTGCTCCTCAATAAACACAGGCTTCTCAAAATTTATTCACTTCCTGGTGCATCTGATTTATTTCGCCTAACATTGTGGTCCCAAGGTGCATTCTGTCTTCCTACAAATGACTTGAGTGTATCCTTCTTTACAGCAGAGTAGTGCTCCACAGTAGACAGGCACCAGGATTCTTCATCCATCCGTCTGCTGGTGGACATGAGCTGCTTCCCAGATTTAGCCACTGGCGTGTGAGGACCATGGTAACCTGGTGCTTCTCACTCCCCTGGGGAGGTTCCCTCTCCTGCTGGCAGCTCGGCCTCTCCAGGGTTTGTTAGTCTTTGATTTCTTGGTGCTGGCCCTTTTTCCTGAGGTAAGATGGGATCTCAGTGTCCTTTTAACTTGTGTTCCTCCACTAGCCAGCGATGCTGAGTCCATCTGGATTCTAGGAATGTCTGTTCAGTTCAGTTGCCCGTTTTATTTGGGTCTTATCTTGGGGGTTAAATTGCTGAGTTCTTCATGTATCCCAGGCACTAGTCCTCTGCCTAGGAACAGCTGCAAAAAGGTCTCCCCACTCTGGGTTTGTCTCGTCGCTCTGCTGCGGAAGCTTCTGGTTTCCATCAGCTCCTGTCTGTTGACTGGGTGTCATCTCTTGTGCAGCCTGGCTCTGTCCAGAAAGTCCTCGCCTACACCCGTGAGCGACTTCGAGACTTCTGCCTGGATCTTGTTAAATTAAACCCGCGTATCCCAAGAGCCTGTCCTTCCATGTGATTTAGTTCCACAAGAGGACACCCCCACCTCCCCCCATAGACCCCAACTGTGACCACCAGCAGTGTCCCGGGGGCATCAGTCACCCGTCCAGCCGAGGCCAGGCTGGGATGTGTCCATGCTGCCATGCATGTCCAGAACATACCGGGCAGTGCGGCTTGAGGTGTCTGCTACTGAGGGACCAATCTTGGAGATTTTCTAAGCCACCTGTGGGCCTCAGTCTCCCGGAAAGAGCAGCTCTTAGCAGAGCAGCGTCTGTCTGGTGTGAGCAGGCATGATTGCCTCCTTAAAACCCCTAGCTGAAGCGCTAGGTGGGGTTTCCAGCGCTGGCCAACAGTGCCCTCTGGTGGCTCTCCACAGCACTGCAGTCATCTGTGGAGCCTGAAAAGCTGAACTGTAAAACCCTCAGGATGACGTGTAGGTGGTGACTGTCACACGGGTCCTCTGCATTAGGTGTCTGAGCAAGTGGTGCCTTGTGCAGGTGCCTGCTCTGGTAGCAGCAAGCCAAGCCCACTTCGCAGCACCCTGGGGTCAGCTTTCAACTGACATTGGATCTGAAGGTCCCAGGGGATGAAGGCACCCATTGTAGGACAAGGAGGTTCCCCTCCTTCCTAGCCCATTGCACAGCCTGCTTCTGAGTGTCTCCTCCTTAGCCCAAGGGAATTTGTCCCACCCTTGTCTCTCTCCTGCCCTGCTGGGACTTTAAGCCTGCCACTGAGGCAGGAAGTAGCCAAGGAAGTGCTTGGGGAAGAAGGGACAGTGGCCTCGGACACCTAGGTGTGGGGACACCTGAAGCGGAGTCACAGCAGGAAGAAGACCAGGGAGGAGGCTGCAGGGTGCAGCAGGAATCTATGCCCATGGCAGCCCCCGTCCGGTCATGGAGGAGGTGGGACTGGAAGGGTGTAAAGCCAGAGCCACGGCAGTCACAATGCCCTGGACACAACGGGTGTCCAGAGCCTCCTGCTCCATTTGAGGGAAGCTCAGCTCTCACCCATGGTCAGCTGGCCACCGCCGTTCACTCAGGACCCAGTGACCCAGTGGGAGGGTCCAGCTAGGTCTGCTATCAACTAAGTCACCTGAGTTGACTGGACAGAAACTTCAGGAAATGTCACTGTAGGAGTCCTTCTGCCCAGACCAGAGCAATGGGAAGTGTCTTGGTTACTTTTCTCTCGTTGCTGAGACAAAATACCTGACACTCAAAATTAGAGAAAGAAAGGTTTATTTAGCTCACAGTTTTTGTGGTTTCAGTCCACACTCAGCTGTCCAAGGCAGGGTGGCATGGCTGAGGGGCGGCTGTTTATGGTGGCAGCAATCGAAGGGCAAAAGGAAAACCACCTCCTCCCCTCCCTTACACTGCATGCCGGCCACCCCGCCCCCAGGGCTGGTGTAGCACCCAAAATCGCTGCGGCTCCTCTGGCACAGGCTGGGGCTACTTACACAGTAAGGATCCTGGCTCCCTGCTGAGGCTCTCAGTCAAACTCTTAAACTTCTCAAATGAACACAATGTACCAACTGTAACAGGAGCATCCATGAGCCTTCTGGGTGGTGAGAGCTGCCAACAGCCAGCTGACAACCTCCTCCAGTCCAGATCCAGAGACCAGGGAGCTGCCCAGCCATGGGCAGCTCAGGCCACACTGTGAATGGCCCAGGCTGTAGGTCAGTGTCAGACCCCGGCCGCATCCAGAGCCAACCTGGATGTCTTGTGTGTTTGCAGCTGGCCGTCTCCGTGTACCCCCCTGAGAATATTCACCCTTTGGGGGCAGCAGACCCTGCCCAGGAAGGGCTCTGCACCCCACAGGGGCCCGTGGGGCACTACAGTTACTTAGCACAGTAGGCCACTGTCCCCGAAAGGCCACGCAGTGTGGTCACAAAGGCTTCACTGCAAATGCGGGGAGAGTGACCCTATCTCAGGTGGGGTCCACCAGCTAAGAGGAGGGGACGGGAAAGTCCAGCCTCGCCTTTCATCAAGCACCAAGGTCACTGCAAGACAGCATAGAGTTCTGGCGGGGAGTGGGGACTGAAACTTCAGGGAGAAAACCTGCCAGACTCCACAGGCTGTGCCTGAAGCCCGGAGGAGAGGCTCTGTGGCAGAGGGAAGAAAGGCCGGCCTCCCATGGCTTTCTCAGAATCTCTACCGCATCTCCTGCAATCTCAGGAGAAGGAACAAAATCACGTGCCTAAAAGGGACCTGGGCAACTTAGTGACCTAGCAAAAAATTGCCTCAAGACAGGGGATGCAGCCCAGGGCAAAGGCTCAGGGCTCCGCCCCCGGCACTGAGAAGTCAAAGGGCGGACTTACTGCAGCTCAGCTCCAAGACCCCCATCCCGCCAGCCTGTCGCCCCTGAGCCGTAGCCTTTGGAGCTGCCATGCTTGGTTTGCGGTGTGGCTGGCTGGGCCACAGCTGCCTAGGAAGTGGATGTTAGGACCACTTCCACTTCCACCTCACAGGGCTAAGAAAGAGCTGCCCTGCACACATGGGTCACCTTGCACTGGCTTGCCTCTCTAGACACTTCTGGTGTCACCCTTTAATGCTTCAGATCTCCCCAACCCCCAAACATCACAGCCAGCTTTTGCCTGCCCACCCTCCTCCTGCCTCAGCTTCCAGCCTCCTTTCAAGAAGTCTTTAGTGGACCCAAGGCAATAATACGCCTTTGATCTCAATGTGCCTTTGGGGTCCTAGCAGGGCTGAAGGGCTAAGCCACCCCCAGACCCTCCAATGACTGCAGAGCCTGGTGGTTAAGAGCCTTGTGGCAAATTCCCCGTCCCAGGTTCAGATCCCAGTTCTGACCCTTTCTCACTGTGTGATCTTGAGATACTGGCCAAGCTGTGACTCAGTTTCCTCATCTGTACAATGTGGTTTGAGCAGCCCCCTGGGCTGAGATTTGATCCCCATAGGGAGGTGGGGATGAAACCAGTGATGATGTTAGAGGTGGAGCCTTGAGGGTGATCTGGACTGGATGAGACCTTCAGGGTGGGGCCCATGACTGATCCTGTCAGCTTCATAAGTGCACAGTGACCAGAGGAAACACCCATGTGCGCCATGTGCTTCCCAGCCCTGGCCACCTGGAGGCTGCTGGGCCAGCCACCACCAGGCACCTCATGGACTGCACCTCCAGAGCCTGGAGCAGGCACATCTCTTTTCTTTATGAAGTGGCATAAGGAATGCCATTCAACAGATAGGCTCGAAAGATGTGACGCCGTGTCCTGGTTCATCTTGTCCTGATCTGCACCATCTGACAGCTGGCTCCTTCCCAGAGCCAAAGTATCCACGAAAGGAAAATGTTTCCATTAGATTCAGGACAGGGAGGCAGCCAGGACAGCACAGCTAAGGACACTCGGGACAGAGGAGCTCAGAGCTGCTGCCGAAAGTGGCAGGAACCGCCGGATGAGTGTGTTGCGAAGAGAAGGATTTGGAGGAGTAGTGGCCATGTGTGTTTTACTGAAAAGTGATCTAAAACTAAAACACTCACCAAATTTTCCATCATACCTCACAGCTATGGCGCATGGGGGTAGAGTGAAGAAATTAGCAAGCTAAATGTGTCTGGTCTCAGGCAGACAACACGACCCAGAAGTCCAGGACAGGCTGAGTGGCAGGGGCCACAGCACAACCCACACCAGTTTTGTCTTCTCATCCATGGGTTTCGGGATCAGGGACTGGCCCTGCCAAAGTTGGGAGCTGGTTGTCCCCCCTCTCTCCTCAGCCTCCCCAACTGAATCCTGAACCACCCCCCCAGACCAGTGCTCATTTACTATGCGGGTGGGGGACCAGAGCACTGAACCCACTCCAAGTGAAAAGCCCCCAGCATGGCAGTGAAGCCTGAAATCCCAGCACTCTGGGAGGCTGAGTTTGGGGGTCTGAGCCCAGCCAGCCTAGACAACTTAGCAAGCCCGGGTCAAAATTAAAAAATAAAATGAGGGCTGAGGATGTAGCTCCGTGTGCAGTGCCTGGGTTTTAAATTTTGAGTCACCTGTAGGGAAAGGGTCCCCTTGAAACCATAGTGCTAAGTAAAAATGAGACAGAGGTTTCTCTTATGTGAGAGACCTGAAGTATAAATCTCACAACCAGACGACAGACAGGTGAGAAGGCAGAGACCAGCCTTGCAGAGATGGGAGATACAGAGATGGTGGCAGACAGCTGGGGGGACCCAGAAGCACAAGGCCCTGTGCCAGCTCCCCAGGAAGGACGCATTGCTGCGTCTGTAACCCCGAGCCCTGCAAAGGTTCGCTATAAAGAATGACAGGCAAGGGAAGACCATCAGCTCAGCGCGCAGTTGGTTTTATTTTTTTCCCA